GTGGAGGCCAGAGGCAGCCTGCATGAGACACGTTAGGAAAGTTGGCAGCACAAGGCAAGACAGACTGTCCCTGTGGAAAAGCCACCGGGGAGGGCTTCGGGGGGCTGGCAAGTTGGGTAGGGCGGGGCAGATGAGGAGCCAGGTTGATGGAGACTCAGACATGGCGCCCGCTGCCAGCTCTGTGGGTCCGGGCTCAGAACAGGAACGATGGGCTCTGCCTGCAGTCCCTGTGGGGGAAGCTGCCCCTCCAGCTCTCACCCCGACGCCGGACAGTTCAGCTCCTCCCCGCAGGTCCCTGGTGCCTTTCGAGCTGCCGTCCCCATGCTGGGGCTCAGAGGGAGTGAGTTCGAGTAAGTCCGTGCGCGGGCCCTTTAAGAGGAGCAGCCTGGGGCTCCAGCAGCCTGCCTGTCATTCAGCCTCAATCTCTTCCTGGCACTGGAACCCTGGGCTGGGGAGCCGTTGTAGGGCTGGGACCCCTTGCTTCTCAGGGGGGACCTCTGCAGCTGGAATACCCCTTTTGATATAAATATATTTATTGTGTATTGATTTTAGAAAGAGAGGGAGAAAGATAGAAACATCGCTGATGAGGGAACATCGACTGGCAGCCTCCTGCACGACCCCTACTGGGAATCTAGCCCACAACCCGGCCATGTGCCCTGACTGGGAATTGAGCTGGAGACCTCCTGGTGCATGGACCGGTGCTCAACCCCCGAGCCTCACCAGCCGGGCTCCTTCCTTGCATTTTAATCGCTGGAAGCTAATTATGACTTAACGGGATTTTATAGTGTTCAACTTGACAAGGAGATGAGAAAGTGTGGAAGTATTAGAGACCTATTCTCCAAGGCCGTCGAGGAGTAGGTGTGATGGCTCGTGCGCGTGCCCTGTGTTCGAATGCTGTGGTCCTCAGCCAACGCGGTATTAGACGGAAAGTATGCGTGCAGAGTGGCCGTTGGGGTCCGGCTCCCAGGAAGACTTTGTTATGTGAAGCATGGTGTCTCCTGTACCCTGTCTCCTCAGGGTACCCAGAGTTAGGGTGTTTGCCACAATACCAAATATGGATTTAATTGGGGCTCCTTTTGTTGTTTTTTGTGGACATTTTGCAATAGTCTGATTTCTAGGCAAGTCGAACTCCTCCAGAAGCCAGAGCTCAGTCTTCCAGGAGCCCCAGGGGTTAACGTGAATGGTGGGGTCAGGAGGAGACGCAGGGACAACGTCCCTGCTGGCCCCTCTCACGTAATTCTCTCCCTTGCTTGCTCAGCTTGGTTCTTCTTTAAATTTTTAGTGCTCTTATATATGGCTTGGAAGTTGAGGTAGAAGCCTGGAGACAGCTCTTCAGCTCTGTGATGGCTTTTGTTTTTGGCCAAACCGTCTGGATTACATAAACAGTGGGTACTTACTATTTTAAGCATGCTTCAGGAATTCAACTGATATTTAAAGAGAAAAAGTTCTTGGGTGGAAATGGAGTCTTTTTTGACTACTCATTCTTCTCTTATTTCAACTGCACGACCAGGGAAGGAGTTCGTGGCTTCTGCTGTCTTGGGAAGCACGGTGCTTGCAAACCTTGGACATCGCAGAGTGGCTGAAACCGCTGCGGGCAGCCCAGTGGCCCTCGGCTTGGAGCACGTTGCAGTCAGGGGCGCGGAGTTCCATTTTGCGAAAGTGTGCACTGCATAAAGGTTACTGGCCGAGGCTGCTGATAGTAAACCTAGCAGTGCGGGTCTCTTACATTTCTTTTACAGGATAATATTTCCCTTTCATCCTCACCCGAGGATATGTTTTTAATGATTTTAGAGAGACAGGAGGGGGAGAGAGAAACATCGATCAGTTACTTCCTGCATGTGCCCTGACCAGGAGGCAAACCGAAACCTTTTGGAGTACGGGACCACGCTCCAACCAACTGAGCCACCCAGCCAGGGCCAGAATAATAGTTTCTTATTACCTCACCCTGTTTCCTGTTGGTTGTTGTATGTATAGCTGATAGAACTCTCTCTCATTGCAGTGTTTGGCGCATAAGATTCATGCGTTTAGCAGTGTGGTTCCCTGGCGAGTGTGGGAAACCCTCAGGTGTCTTTGAAATGCATACATTAGCAGGTCCTTCCACGAGGATGGGGCAATGCAGGAAAAGGATGAATTAAAGCAGAAATTTCAGATATCTGAAAATGGGGATCGTGCTACTTTACTAGTAGCTGAAAGAATAGCAGATTTTGCTCTGAAGATGGTTTCTTTGATTCCTTTAAATATTTATTTGTAGTTTTTTAAATTTATTTTATTATTATTTTTTTAATTTTATTTTTGTTACAGATGTTTCTCCTTTTTTTACCCCATTGACACCCTCCTCCCCATCCCCCCCACCCCATCCCCATCTTTGTTGTCCATGTCCATTGGTTATGCGTACATGCATATAAGTTCTGTGGTTATTTGTAGTTTTAAATAGTAACTCTTTTGGTAGGAAGTTCATTGTAACTAACTGATGTTAGGCAAGTCATTTGGTCCCTCAGAGCTAAAACCATGTCAGTAATAGAACTGCGATAGGGATATTGTCTTATAGTTTACTGGGTGATTTTACATAAATTAGATAACTTACCTAATTCATTTTATACTCCAGTGAAGAAATTGAGGTATAAAAATAGTGAGTGAGGTGACTGATGTCACAGAGCCCGCACGTGCCAGAGCTGAGGCCACGGACTGTCCTTCACTCCGTGGTGCCCGGGCTGAACTCTAACCTGCTGTCGGTTTTTGCTGTTTTCTTTTTGTTGTTGTTAATATTGTTGTTGAGGGTATGTTTCCACTGATTTTTTTTTTTTTTTTTTTTTTTGAGTGGAAGGCAGAGAAGGAGTGAGACAAAGAGAAAAACATCGATGTGAGAAAGACACATGGATTGGTTGCCTCCTGCACAACCCTAACCAGGGCCCGGGATTGAACCCTGCAACCCGTTGGTCCTCAGGCCGATGCTCTAACCTCTGAGCCAAATTGGCTGGAGCTATTGTTTTTTTTTATTTCTTTAATCCTCACCTGAGTATGCCCAGCAAGTGGCTCAGTGGTTGAGCATTGACCCATGCACCAAGAAGTCGCCGGTTTGATTCCTGATCAGGGCACATGCCCAGGGTGTGGGCCCGATTCCCAGTGGGGGGCATGCAGGAGGTGGCCAGTCGGTGTTCTCTCTCATCGATGTTTCTGTCTCTCTCTTCCTCTTCCTTCCTCTCTCTCTCAAATCAATAAAGAAAAATAAATAATAAAATAAATCCTCACCTAAGGATATTTTTTCATTGATTTTTTTTTTTTCCAGATAAAGAGGGAGGGAGAGAGACATCGATGTGAGAGAGACACATTGGCTGCCTCCCACATGACCCCAACCAGGGCTGGGGACCGAACTGCAACTGACATACATGCCCTTGACCAGAATCGAACCTGTGACTCTTTGGTCCGAGGGCTGACACTCTAACTGCTGGGCCAAGTTGGCCAGGGCTATTTTTTTTTTTTTTTAAAGCATCTGAGGCAATTTATGGCCTATTTTATTTGTCTGCTTTTTTCTTAAAGTACATTATAGGATTACTATTTTAAATATCTTTTCTCCTGCCCAAAAGTACATTAAAAATGTTTGTTTATTGATTTTTTAGAGAGAGCAGAAGGGAGAGGGAGAGAGAGAGTAAAAAATACTTTCGCCTGCCTTAAATTTAGGCTTAATTCTTAAAATTATAATACTGTACAAAGAAATCTCTTTGAAGAGGATAATTATAGTGTTTTTTTTTAAATAGTTAAATAATAATTTTAACAGTCTAAGAGCAAGAACCTTTTTAGATTCTAATGAGAATTGTCTCTCAGTTGTATTATAACCCAGGTCTTGGCCCCAAATGTTTTGCTCTTTAAAGCATTTAAATTTAAGAGCCGAACCTGCTGATTTGTCTGAAAGGGTGTATGTGTCTTTTCACGTGTTCCTGGTTAGGACATGTAAACCAATCAGCACCTTCTCAGGCTTCACCCTCACTGGGAAACAGCGTCAGAAAATCCACAAAGGTGTCCACACATGTGTGGTCTCTGCTCCTGGGCTTTGTCGGGACTTAGTTTGGGGCTTATCAGTAGACATTGGAGGTTCAAGAATATCTGTCTTTCATCCTCTATTTTGTTCTTGTTTGTGTGGATTTTGTTTCTGGAATCTGAGCTCCTCATGGCTCTGGAAGGAACTCTTAGTCTCTGAATCAGGGAGCTTCAAGTTCATCAGTGTGTTTAACCAGATCATCTTTGTGACAGCTTGTTCAGAGGAGGTTCAATCCTTGGCATTATTTTAAAGGGCAGGTTGCAAGTTAGAAATAAGGTTTTGCCTTTTGCCTTTTCTCAGTATAACCGAACATAAGATGCTTCCCTGCATCACTTCTGAACGAATCCCACCCTCTGTGGTCGGTTCGTGGTCCTCTCAGGTGCTGCTGCCCACCATTACGTCTCTCATCACAGGGCACTTTCAACGAGGCCATAAGCTGCATGTTGAGAATCAAATGTACAGAAATCACATCTGGCTGTCAGTTCCTGAGTTAAGGACCTGACGATTATGGCAACTTCAGTCTCTATTAATATTCAGTAAACCAGAGATCATGATACTGTTTACGTTACTCCTTATGTGTTTGTAGATTTAACTACTTGTTGAAAAGATTTGTTTTATTGGGGCTGAATATGTCTGCCATTGTACTGATTTGATTACTTGAATTAAAGTTGTTCTTTAATTGTTTTGGGCCGCATCTATAGTTTGAAATTTAGGACTGTTCCTTGGGTACTATGCACGGAAGATGACATTTCAGTGCATTGTTCCTGTTGTCTGTAATGAAGCTGTAATGCCTGGGTCCATTGATTTCAATAACAGTTACTTTAAGTATCCATGACAACGATGATGGTTAATATTTAGAGGCTAATTTTTCAAATTCATTTGTGTCTCCTCTGGGCATTTCTTTAAGATTTGTTCACATTCATGTTTTGGTTTCTGATTTTAAAATAATTTTCCTTTGTTGTAGGATGAGCAGTTCTTAGGTTTTGGCTCAGATGAAGAAGTCAGAGTACGAAGTCCCGCAAGGTCTCCTTCAGGTACGGCCAAAGAAGTGCATGGTGCCTTTAAGTTCTGTTTGCTAAGAGACTGGCATCCCCCCGCCTGTGTGCATGTAAAGGATGTTCTTAAATACTTGGGCTTTTTTGTGTACATCCTTCCTTCTCCCTCACACTAAGTAAGAAGTGGCTTATGAAACAGACCTCTTCCTGGGGGAACCACTGGAGTCACGGGAGGTCGATGTCCACGGACTGACTGGGAACCTGGAGAGCAGCCTCGGAGTCACATATTTTGAAGTATATGGTAGTCCGCTCCGTGGGCAAACGTGGTTTCCAGTTGTGAGCACACAAAACACTGCGTTTCTTCTTACATGATTATTTATTATTGTATTATTTTCCATACAAACAACTGGAAACCTCCTTTTGCCCAGCCCCGTATATGACTTTGGGAATAATTTGACCGTTGTTTTTCACAGATGAAATTTGGTCCATATTTGTCAAAGGCTTCAAAACAAAATGTTAGCGCTGTGTGAATGTTTTACCTCATTCTTGAAAGACTGTATTAAAATTTTTAAAAAGATAGGGTGCATTTCCATTTATAAGCAATATTTTTGTCATTTTCTCACCAAGAAAATATCTAGAATGTTTTGAAATTCTAGGCTTACAGCAGGTTTCTGACAGACAGGTCTTAGTGGAAATAACATCTGATGGCTTGCAGAATTCCATTCGAATAGGAGATGGCTACAGAACTTTTGCTGAGGACAGTGAATGTTCCCTGTCTCTGCTGCTGTTCTGAATTCTTGCATGATTTTCTGTGGGTAGACTATCTAGTTAGATAAGATGTTGCCAGCTGTGCTCTTGCTCTTTGAAATTGACTTAGTTTGTGATGTTTATTAGCATTTGGGTTGTATGTGAGAGTCATTATATGTTATATAGTAATCTAATTCAAACATATAAATTGACAATTTTTCCTTTCCCAGATGGTGGTGGCATTGCCATTGGTCGGGAGGAATTAGCCAGTGGGCTGCCGGTATCTGTGCCATTTACACAGTAGCAATGTTCTCTTTAATAGGTAGTGAAATCTTAAAACTTTGTATCAAAAAGTAACTTTAGAGATCATCTGGTCTTACCCTTCATTTATAAGTGGCAAAACAAGGCCCAGAAGATGCACGATGAGTAATTACTTATAACCGATGTGTGCATTCTTTGAATGTGGATCATGGAAGTTGGCAGCAGACTGGACTCTTGTCTGTTTTGCTTTTTCTACTTCTCCACCAAAAGCTCTTTTAAAAGTTGGATTGAAGAGGGCTTCAGAATGAATACAGCCCTATGAGTGGCCAGGTTCAAGTCTACTGTGAGGATAAGGAGTCTTGTGACGTATTTCTGGAGTAGGAGTTTTATTTTAATTCATAACCCTTTCTTAATGGTTTCCCCTTAAGTGTTCTTGGCTGTCAGTCTACCTTGAATGTTGGCTGGGTTGTTTAAAACCATCTGGATATGCTTCATTGTTAAGAAATGAAACATAGTTTCTTTGCTGTCTCCTATTCTGTTACTTTTGTTGTAATTAGTGAGTATTGAGAATGGATTTGTGAACCCTTAATCCACTGAGGGAATCATTTCTCTTTAGAAAGCTCAGCAGTAGCCCTTTGTTGGTTTTTGGTCTGTTAGAAAGCTGGTTCATCCTAAAGGCAGGGCACCTCTTGTAGTGTGTGTTAGGGGAGGTGTTAGTCTCAGAAGAATGTTGAGTTATATAAAGCATTAAAAAGTCACGAGGGAAAAGAAGATATGATAGACTAGGCAACTCTTAGTACATTTTGAAAATACAGGTTTATACAAAGAATTTTAAGAAAATGTTTTCTTGAGTATTGATAAGTAGCAGATTGAGCTGATTTATAAATTGGAAACTTCCTTTTTTTTAGAAGAAATCTGATTTAATAAATTGTTAATTTGCTCTCACATCAATTAAGATTAATTTTTTTTTTTTTTTTGGTAACTTGAGACTAATTAGTTCAAGAACCTGTAGGTAGGGGAATAGATTAGTGAGTGGGTACATCATCATGTCACTTCACTGATGAGTTCACATGCTGCTGAGTTCAGTGATCGTATCTGAATGCCGCACGAATGAGCATTTTTCTACCCAATACAACTTTCTTGGTTTGCTAAGGTAAAACAGATTGAAATATAGGGGGCTGAGCTGCTCAGGAGCCTTTTTCTATAGAAGTTGGTATGTTATTGATCAAAGAGCACATTGTTCAGATTTACCGAAGCCCGAACTCTGAACTGTAAAGATGGAATAAACACGTTCTCAAATATTGATCTTGGTGGCTTAAGATGTGGTAAAGGTAGTACGGATTTTTTTTTTTTTTTAACATATTTTTTGAATTCAGAAAAAACTCCTTGCTGGCCTGATGTTGTAGGGAAATCAGTTTTGTATAATATAAATTGCTCAGTTGAAAACCTTTTATTATTATGTTAGGTTTCTTTTAATAGAAAAAGTTGTTAAATATTCTTTTAGGTGGAATATTATTTAGTTCAGTTCTTTGAGGCAAGATTTTGGGGGAAAGAAGCTAAAATTAAGATGTCATATTGACTCCTTGGACTCACCAAGTAGAGTTCAGTGCCAAGTGGCTTGTGCTAAATTATATTCAACTTAGTTAAGACCTGAACCGCAAAGCTAAACGTGTGCTCTTCGTTGTTTAATCTCTACACACAGTTAAAAGTAGCCCTCGAAAGCCTCGCGGGAGACCTCGGAGCGGCTCTGAGCGCAGTGCGGCCGTCCTCTCGGGCCCGCCTGTATTCTCCCCTCTCAGCAAAGCGGAGCCCAAGTCCGGAGACAAGGTCAAGAAGAAAGATTCTAAAAGCATCGAGAAAAAGAGAGGCCGACCTCCCACCTTCCCTGGAGTAAAAATCAAGATCGCGCACGGGAAGGACATTGCAGAGTTACCAAAGGGAAACGAAGACAGCCTGAAAAAAATCAAACGGACCCCTTCCGCCACGTTTCAGCAGGCCGCCAAGATCAAGAAACTACGCGCAGGCAAACTCTCTCCTCTCAAGTCCAAGTTTAAGACAGGGAAGCTCCAGCTAGGGAGGAAGGGGGTGCAGATCGTCCGGCGGCGGGGGAGGCCGCCCTCGGCCGAAAGGGTCAAGGCCCCCGCGGGCCTCCTGCTCGCCCCGCCGCTGGAGAAGCCCCAGAAGGCGCGCAAGGACAAGGAGGGCACGCCCCCGCTCCCGAAGGAGGACAAGGCAGTGGTCCGACAGAGCCCCCGCAGGATCAAGCCGGTCCGGATCATCCCTTCTTCCAAAAGGACAGACGCCACCATTGCCAAGCAGCTCCTGCAGAGGGCGAAAAAGGGGGCGCAGAAGAAAATCGAGAAGGAGGCGGCCCAGCTGCAGGGGAGGAAGGCGAAGACGCAGGTGAAGAACATCCGGCAGTTCATCATGCCCGTGGTCAGCGCCATCTCCTCGCGGATCATCAAGACCCCCCGGCGGTTCATCGAGGACGAGGACTACGACCCCCCGATGAAGCTCGCGCGCCTGGAGCCCGCGCCGAGCGGCAGGTTCGGCGCCGCGTCCTGCGGCTCGTCCGAGAAGTCCAGCGCCGCCTCCCAGCGCTCCTCGCAGGCGTCCTCCGACTCCTCGCGCTCCAGCAGCCCCAGCGTGGACACCTCCACGGACTCGCAGGCCTCCGAGGACCTGCCGGGGCTCCCCGAGGAGCAGGGCGACGCCCCCGACGCCCGCCCTCCGCTGCCCGGCCCCCCGGCCCCGGAGAACGACGGCAGCGACCGGAGGAGCCGAAGGTACTCCGTGTCCGAGCGGAGTTTCGGGTCGAGAAGCGCGAAGAAGCTGTCGGCCCTGCCCAGCGCGCCCCCGCCGCAGGCCTCGGCCTCCCCGCCGCCGCCCCTGCTGAGCCCGCCGCCGCCCCTGCAGCAGGCGCCCGGCCTGTCGGACCACACGCCGTGGCTCATGCCGCCCACCATCCCGCTGGCGTCCCCGTTCCTGCCCGCGCCCGCGCCGGACAAGCGCCGCTCCATCCTGCGCGAGCCCACGTTCCGGTGGACGTCGCTGAAGCACTCGCGGGCCGAGCCGCAGTACTTCTCGTCCGCCAAGTACGCCAAAGAGGGCCTGATCCGCAAGCCCGTCTTCGACAACTTCCGGCCGCCGCCGCTCACGCCCGAGGACGTGGGCTTCGCGCCCGGCTTCGCCGCGCCCGCCGCGTCGGCGCGGCTCTTCTCGTCCCTGCACGCCGGCTCGCGCTTCGACGTGCACAAGCGCAGCCCCCTGCTGCGCGCGCCCCGCTTCACGCCCAGCGAGGCGCACTCCAGGATCTTCGAGTCCGTGACGCTGCCCGGCGGCCGGGCCCCCGCCGGCGCGGCCCCCGCGGGCGCGGCCAGCAGGAAACGGAAAAGGAAGGTGTTCAGCCCCCTCCGCGCGGAGCCCCGGTCCCCCTCGCACTCCATGCGCACGCGGAGCGGGCGGCTCAGCGCGGCCGAGCTGTCCCCGCTCAGCCCGCCGGCGCCCGTCTCGTCCTCGCTCAGCAACTCCGTCGGTCCTCTCGCCGCTAGTGCCTTAAACCCGACGTTCACCTTCCCTGCGCACTCCCTGAGCCCGCCCGCCGACGCCGCGGAGAAGGGCCAGCGGCCGCGGAAGCAGAGCGGCGCCCCCGCCGAGCCCTTCCCCTGCGGCAGCCCCGGCCCGCTGTTCCCCTGGTTCGCGCCCGGCTCGCAGCCCGAGCGCGGCCGCAGCAAGGACCGCGCCCCCGAGGAGCCGTCCAAGGAGCGCGATGCCGACAAGGCCGCCGACAAGGACAAGAGCCGCGAGAGGGACCGGGAGAGAGAGAAGGAGAACAAGCGCGAGTCGAGGAAGGAGAAGAGGAAAAAGGGCTCCGACGCGCAGAGCAGCTCCGCCCTGTATCCCGTGGGCAGGGTTGCCAAAGAGAAGGCTGTCGGGGAGGACGTGGCCACGTCCTCTTCCGCGAAGAAAGGGACGGGGCGGAAGAAGTCTGCAGCCCTGGACTCGGGGGCGGATCTCGCTTCCGCGACGCTTGAGGACACGACCGCTGTCAAAACCAAAATACTTATAAAGAAGGGGAGAGGGAACCTGGAGAAAAACAACCTGGACCTCGGCCCGGCTCCCCTCCCTCTGGAGAAGGAGAAAGCCCTCTGCCTTCCCACCCCCTCACCTAGCACTGTTAAACACCCCGCTTCCTCCGTAGGCTCCATGCTGGCCCAAGCGGACAGGATGACGGACAAGCGGGTCGCCAGCCTCCTGAGGAAGGCCAAAGCCCAGCTCTGCAAGATCGAGAAGAGCAAGAGTCTCAAACAGACCGACCAGCCCAAAGCACAGGTACTCTGCGTGCCGCCTGTTCCCGTCCTGTCCAGCCCCTCTGGGAGCAAGTTTTAGGCGGAGTGTTTCGGTGACAGCCAGTCTCGGGAATCAGGAAAAGGGTAGAGGAAGTGGACCGGTAGGGTTTTGGTGGGTGGACATCAATAAGGGAGAACATTCTAAGTAGAGGGAACGGTGCGGGTAGAGAAACATTTCAGGGACAGTGAATACTGGACCGGAACACACAGGCAAGTGTGAGCTAAGACTGGACAGTGGGTTGGAGCCATGCTACAGAGAATGCCCGGTTGGTACTTAACGGCTTTGGTGTATTGGAATCCCTGACTCAATTTTGAGGGTGCATTTCTGCCGTCAAGTTGTTTTACTGTTGTTCACAGTAGAAGGCCCCGGGGGTGGGCGCAGGTTCTCATCCCCTGACCAGTGTGCGATTAGAGCAATAAATAAATAAGAGGTGTTTGCAGAATACATATGGCCGTAAGTGGACAGAAAAGCGGTGGAACTGAGTTAGTTAGGATGAAGACAGACAGATTTTATACAAAGAACAGCATGGGTTTTCTTTTTACACGGTGACGTAGGCACTGGTCTTTGAGAAAACCTACTGATCTTTAGGTTCTTTAAAAAAAATTGTCCTGTAGTAGATGCATATTCATGCCAACATCTAAAGTTAAGTTGCAGTGACTGCAAACCTCAGTTTTTAATGGTATTCAACCTAGGGCCTGATTTTAGTAATTCTGCCATTTGAGAGTTCAAGCAGGGACTCACTTCTGACACCGTTAGGGATGTTTTCTGGGTAGCCTCCCAGCTGTAAGACCAGTGGCTCTTTGAGATGTGAACCATTTCTATTTGGACTCATGGCCTTTTCACTTTGGTAGTAGGTTATTTCCTCCTCCTTCTCTGTTGATCAGGGAAATACAAGAAGCAGTCTGCAGTTAGACTGAACTTTCAGTAATACACTGGCACCTTAACTTTTGAAGGGGATTTTCTAGAAGTAGTGTAATTAGGAACAGGAACTTAGTTGATTTCTGGTTTTTTTTTTCCCCTGCCAGTTGCAGGATATAGAAATAGTCGATTCCTGTCCATTGATAGGGCTTATCAGCTGGACATAACTTGGATGATTCCAGATTATAATAAGTTAGCCAGAAAGACCTTGGCTTCATTTAATGATGTTGTCAACATGGATGGTGTTGTTTATCTGGCTTACCTCATATCTAGGGTCAAGAAAGTGATTCCTCAGAGACCTCTGTCCGAGGACCCCGGATCAAACACGTCTGCAGAAGGGCTGCTGTCGCCCTGGGCCGAAAGCGAGCTGTGTTTCCCGATGACATGCCCACCCTGAGTGCCTTACCCTGGGAAGAGCGAGAGAAGATTCTGTCTTCCATGGGGAACGACGGTGGGTTGGGTCAGCCTTGAGGTCGCAGCACACATTCTTGGGATGCCCAGGAGGTTCTTCATAGCACTCGGTGTGGGTCTGGGTCCTCCACACAGATGGCAAGGGGGGTTCAGTGAGCGAGGGTTTCATTCGAGGGAATGCCTGGGAGGGAACGGGGAGGGAACGGGGGAGGCTGGGCGAGTTGTCCGACTGCTCTGCAGGCCCGACTCCAGTGAAGGGCGGGGGTCTTCGGGCAGAATCTTCCTAGACTGCCGTGCCGGGTACAGACGTTCCGCAAGCCTGTCCTCGAGCAGAAGTGGGCGGCCAGGGGACTCTGGTCTCTCAGCCCTGCCATGCTCATCACTGCCTGGGAGCAGCCCCTGCGGGGAGGGACCGCCCTGGGTCCAGAGCACAGAGCGGGGCCCTCGGGCGGTGCTGCCCCCTGCGGCTGCAGGTGCCGAGGCACATTCTCTAGGTTGGCGTCCAGTCTTAGATGACGAGCGACTGCTCACTGAAACTTGGGGGGATAGACAGTCCAGAAGCGTTCGATTCCTCTTCTTGAACTTTAGGTCAAACTGTGTTCTGTTTTCAGTATTTGGATGGCTACTCTCTTTTTTTTTGTTGAAAAGTTAGAAATTCCTTAATTTTTTATTCCTGGTACCACTGCCACAATGTACAGGGCAATATACCTGATGTAATGAAAAGAAAAAGAAAAGGGAAAAGCTACAACAGATAAAAGACCTCGGGAATGCACATCCAGTTGACACTACGTTGCATTAATCAATGGCTGCGCTTTTTGCAAACTGTGGCTATGACAGTCCTGAACAAGAAGGGTTTCCTGTTTAAGCTGCGGTAACTTTTCTGGCTGTGGACCATCGCTCCTCCTGTGGCAGATTTTTACAGGTCCTCTAATGCATTTGGGACGACTGTCCCAAAGCAACCTGCAGCTTTCCTGACAGCTCCTCGCTCTCTCCCCTGCTAAGAACTGTAGCCCTTTGCTGCTGAGTTTCTAGAACCTTCTGCCACCATATCCACCACTTCCACCACCAGATCCGTATCCACCACCCTAGGGGCTGCCCGAGCTTCTTCCACCAAAACTGCCCCCCTTCCTGGGTCCATAATTTGATTGCTGTTGTCCACTGTAATTTCCAAAATCATTATAGTTCCCACCGCCGCCATAGTTGCCTCCAAAATTTCCCCCTTCATTGTAACCATCATATCCTCCACCACCACCATATCCACCTCCTTGGTTTCCATATCCTGGTCCTTCACCACCACCATAACCTCCTCCACTACTAGAACCAGGACCACCGCCATAGTCGCCACGGATGGCTACTTTCATTGAGCTATGTTCTAGGCATGGAAACACATTTCAGTAAGTATTTCAACAGGCTCTGAGTTCTGCATATGGCTGTTTTTATTATACTGCACTTCACTTCTGGGGTCCCGATAAAACAGTTTGGATGTGTATAGTGATAGAGACTGATTTTGAGGCCCTGCACCTCTGCTCCCCAGAAGGAACTAGATGCCCCTCTGAACTAAGACATTTCTTCACAGACAAGTCCTCCGTTGCTGGCTCAGAAGATGCCGAACCTCTTGCTCCACCCATCAAACCGATTAAACCTGTCACCAGAAACAAGGCCCCTCAGGAGCCGCCGGTGAAAAAGGGACGGCGATCGAGGCGGTGCGGGCAGTGCCCCGGCTGCCAGGTGCCCGAGGACTGCGGTGTTTGCACTAACTGCTTGGACAAGCCCAAGTTCGGTGGCCGCAACATAAAGAAGCAGTGTTGCAAGTGAGTGTGTCCCCTCCGAGCGCCTCGCCCCGGGGCTGTCCGCTCAGGGTCCTTCAGTGCTGCAAGTGAGTGTGTGTCCCCTCCGAGCGCCTCGCCCCGGGGCTGTCCGCTCAGGGTCCTTCAGTGCTGCAAGTGAGTGTGTCCCCTCCGAGCGCCTCGCCCCGGGGCTGTCCGCTCAGGGTCCTTCAGTGCTGCAGTGAGTGTGTCCCCTCCGAGCGCCTCGCCCCGGGGCTGTTCGCTTAGGGTCACTTTGTTGCAGGGATGATCCAAAAAACAGGAGGCCAGGTTGGAGTTCTTGGGCTGCGGGGTTAGTCCCAGCGTTGGCGTTTGGATGTGGCTAGGTTTGGGCTGGGCGTAACTCAGCGGGCTCCAGGGCGGTGCTGTCTGGTAGGACTGTGTAGGGGGTGCTCTTCGCTGCCCTGTTCCCTTTAGCCGTTAGCCCGAGGTGGCTTTTGAGCAACTGGAATGTGGCTAGTGACATTTGTTTGTTACATTTAATTTTAATTAATTTAAACTTAATCACCACATGTGCCTGGTGACTGCCGTGTCGGTGCAGCTCGGGGGACTTTCTATTTGAAAACTGACAAATTTAGGCAAAATATTTACTAGGTCAACTGAAATTACCTGTATTTGTATGGCTTTCAGGAAATATTGGCGATAATCTTGTACACATCTCTTTGCCGTCTCAGAATATTTCCACACATACAGGATCTTGATGAGGAAGTTTTGATCATCTCTCTCCCTCCCTTTATCAGTTTGAAGGCACACTTTCTGCCAGGGTGACTTGTTTAGAGTGGATCAAAAGAGTTGCACAAATAGAAATTGTGGTAATTGAGCATCTCATAAAGTACCTGGAATAAGGAACAGACGTTAGCAGTAGACATTTCCTGAATGAATGAATGACTTGAAAGTGATTTCTGTAAAACCTCGTTGGGAGAAATGCGCTCTTACTTACTCATGTAAGTAATTCTGTGCTGTGGTTTGGACTGGCCTCAAGCAAGAATCCTGTCTCGGTCCCATGTGCGTCCAGGAGCAAGGGCTCCCAGATCAGCAAACGGTACAAGATGACAGCAAGATGAATTGTGCTAAAGTTAGGGGTTCAGGTTCACAGGCAGAGCAGTTTGAGTGCCCTTAGAGCAGGGGCAGAGTGTGTCTCAGCCTGGCGCAGACCTGTAGCAGTGATGGCACACAGCACTTGCCGGGTCATTGTCGTTCATTTTGTACTCAGGTGACTAAACCAGTATCGGTCTCATACGGGAACAGAACTGATATGAGTGTAAGAAACGTCAACCAACCGTCTTGTGTGTGGTGCCGACTAGTACTAGGTTATAAGAAATCTGAGTCTCATTTTAAAATTTGATATTTGGCCCTGGCCGGTTTGGCTCAGCAGTTAGAACGTCAGTCTGCGGACCAAACAGTCGCGGGTTCGATTCCGGTCAAGGGCATGTACCTCGGTTGTGGTTCGCCCCTGCCCTGGTCGGGGTCTTGCAGGAGGCAGCCAATCAGTGTGTTTCTCTCACGTCGATGTTTCTCTCTCCCTCCCTTCCTCCTCCTCTATCTGAAGATAAATAGAAAAATATACCTGGGTGAGGATTCAAAAAAATAATAATAAAATTTGATATTTGCTCTTTTTGGATGTAAAGGTAAGTAAACTTGCTGACTGAAGGATTCAAAGGCTCAGATTTAATCTGAGTAATGAGGCCCTCCTTATTTCAGCTCTCAAATGACCCCGAATAAAGGGTCACTGATTCTTACAGACAAATTAACACTTGTTCAAACTGCTTCTCTTCTAAACATCGTTGACGATATCCCTTGTTATCCTAGAATGAGGAAATGTCAGAATCTGCAGTGGATGCCTTCCAAAGCCTACCTTCAGAAGCAAGCGAAAGGTAATGTGGGAAGCCCCTCCCCGATGCTTCTTGCTCTCACACCAAGCAGTCGTGTGCACCTAGTGTGACAAGAACACTAGTTTGGGTTTTTTAAGTACCATTCTTTCCCAGGGAGCTGATGGTTGAAGCTGGGTGATGCGTACCGGGGTGCATTTTACAATTCCCTGTACCTTGGAGTGTGTTTGAAAATGTCCCTAAGAAAACACGTGATAATTCATATACAAGTCACCTGTTCTCCTGTTCCTGGAGCAATAAGACTGTCGCTGTTTACTGACCAGCGGGACTTTCTCAGGCTTCTTCAGTGCCCCGTAGCACAGGAGACTGAGGGGCAGATCGTGTTGCGTTCTGATGCTTCTGTTTTAAATAAACCGGTCTTGCTTATAGATAAGGAATCATGTTTTTCCCTAGCTGTGAAGAAGAAAGAGAAAAAGTCGAAGACCAGTGACAAGAAAGAGAGCAGTGTCGTGAAGAACTTGGTGGACTCTAATCAGAAACCTGCCCCGCCAGCAAGAGAGGACCCCGCCCCTAAGAAAAGCAATAGTGACCCTCCTCCGAGGAAGCACGTTGAGGAAAAGAGCGAAGAAGCGGCCGCCCCTGCTCCAGGACTTGAATCCAAACAGGGCAGCGCCCCCGCCTCCAGGAAGTGCAGCAGGCAGGCCTCCCAGCCCGCCCCGGCCACCCCCCCGCAGCCCGGCACAGCCCCGCCGAGGAAGGAAGTCCCCAAGGCGGCGCCCAGCGAGCCCAAGAAGAAGCAGCCCCCGCCGCCGGAGGCAGGTGAGTGCGGGGCGGCGGCCGCCCGAGCGCCGGTGTCTTGACAGCGTTCGGAACCGACACGTGCGTTTCCGAGTGTCCGTGTGAGGGAACTAGCGCTGGGCCTCTGTATGTAATAAAGAAACAAGCGAAAACCAGTGAGGTCGGAGATGCTGTCTTACTTTCCTGTTGAATGCCTAGAGTTTAAACAGCTTTGTCTCTTTGATACCCTTTCCCTCCCAGGCCCGCCAGCCTAACGTAGTCACTGCGCGTTAGCGCTCACGGTGAGTTCAGCAGCATCTGACCGCAATGTATTTTGGATTCTTTAGGTCCAGAGCCAAGCAAGCAGAAAAAAGTGGCTCCTCGCCCAGGTATCCCTGTAAAACCAAAACCAAAAGAAAAGGTGAGAGATGTGTTTGCCATTTCTCAGGGGCGTGTTCTGTTGTGCAGGGAAACAGCCTTGTTCTTGGCGTTCACGTAGCTGAGCGAATGCAGTGCACTTTCGCTTGTGTGCCGGCCGCGGAATCCAGGCTGTGGCTCCTGCCTTCTTTTGTCTCTTTCCCCTTGTTGTTGGTCCTTTCCTTGTGGCCCTACATACTTATGCTTGTGCTGTAGGCTGCTTAGCACAATCGTTTTTTGCCCTCAACATCCTTTAGCAATATTTGCCTGTAATAATCCCCCTTCCCTTTGGGCACTGTTTTTATCGTGTGGAGAGACAGAGAGAGATCTTTAAGGATCCTCTGGCCCTTTCGCCGTCTTTCCGTGCCACTACCATGGCACACCAGTGCTCGGGCCGACTCTGTTCAGAGCGTCAGCGATGCCAAAAAGAGGCAGGTGCTAGGTTTCTATTAGATCATGCTCCAGAGCCGTTGTCTGGTTCCTAACTGACGATGAAGCATTGGCAAATGTGAGATCATCAAGAATCGCAGAGCTGGGGAAATTGTTGTGAGCCTCACGGGAAGTTAGACCAGTGTAGAGTGATCAGCCCACATTTGATGTGCAACTGGAAGGTGTAGAAGATGGCAGAAAAATGTGCTCCTGCCCCGTTAGTTTGGTTTCGTTGTAACTGCCAGCCTGGCATCGTGGACCACAGAGAAGCAGCAGGATGAAAACACGCAGCCCAGGAGGAAAGACCCTGGGTTCTTCTTCCGGGAATGTAACACATACATGCAAATAAAATGCCTTAATGGAAAAATACCTTCCGAAAAGTATTTCACTATTTCTATAGGATACTTAGGCTGGAAACATGTTTCCAGTCTGTTAATAAGATTTGTCATTTGCGTTATTTTCTGTTGCCATGCGAAGGCAAGCCCTGGCCGGGTGGCTCAGTTGGTTGGGTATCATCCAGTGCACCGAAAGGTTGCCGGTTCGGTTCCCAGTCAGGGCACATGTCTGGGTTGCGGGCTCCATCTCTGGGGGGCATGCAGGAGGCAGCAATCTGTGTTTCGCTCTCACATCGATGTTTTTTTCTCCCTCTCCCTTTCTCTCTCTCTAAAATCAATAAAAAATATACATATATTTTTAAAAGTGAACGCAAGTAGAAGAGGGTGGTTTTGTTCTTTATTATCTTCTGTTCCTGTAGGAAAAGCCACCCCCAGTCAGTAAGCAGGAGAACGCGGGCGCTCTGAGCGTCCTCAGCACTCTGTCCAATGGCAGTAGTTCTAAGCAGAAAGTCCCAGCGGATGGGGTCCACAGGATCAGAGTGGACTTCAAGGTAAGAGTGTCTAGTGACAATGGAGTATATTGAGAGTTGTGGACTTTTTTATTTTTCAATTACAGTTATCATACAATATTATATAAGTTTCAAGTATTTAACCACGTGATTAGACATTTCTGTAACTCACGAAGTGATCACCCTAATAAATCTCGCATCCCTCCGGCGCCATATGTAGTTATTAGAGTATTGTCCCTGTGACTACTCTGTAACTACCAGTTTGTGTTTTTAATACCTTCAGCTTTCTCGCCCATCTCCCCAACCCCTCGTCCCTCCAGTCACCCTCAAAATGTTCTCCGTGTATGAGCCTGTCTCTGTGTCTTCGTTTATTGTGTTCTTCAGATTCCACACGTGAGTGGAATGCTCTGCATTAGTCTCTCTCTGCCTTATTTCAATCAGCGCAGTACCTTCTAGGTCCATCTGTGTGTTGCAGACGGCAAGGTTTCGTTCTTTTTTGTGGCTGAGTGATGTTTCACTGTGTAAACGTACCACTTCCTCTTGGTCCGTTTGTCCACGACGACTCCCGGGCTGCCATACCTCCGCCCTTGTGAACGATGCTGCCGAGAACACGTGGGTGGGCACGTCCTGTGGGTGTCTTCTGACCAGTCCCCGGAGGTGGGACTGCCGAGCCCTTTGTCTCCTGTCACCACCTTTGTTGTACAGTCTGTTCGGTTTCGTAGAGGTAGTGCCGCTGGCTTTTTTAGTTTGTTCCATTTTCATGAAGTGTCTTTCTCCATCCCTTTCCGTCTGTTTGTGTCTCTCCCGCTGACACGTGTCTCTTGTAAACAGCATGAAAGGGTCTTGTTTTGTTTTCCACTCAGCCACCCTGTGTCTTTCGATTGAGCATTTAATTCATTTGCATTTAAAGTAACTTTTGATTCGTATATACTTATTGCCATTTTATTATTCATACTTTGACTTTTTTCTTCGTCTTGTTAAAGAAGACCCTTTAACATTTCCTGTTAATGCTCATTTGGTGGTCATGAACTCCTTTAACTTTTTCTTGTCTGGGAAGCTGTTTCTCTCTCCTTTGATTCTAACTGACAGCTTTGCTGTATAGAGTGATCTTGGTGGTAGGTCCTTGCTTTGCATCACTCTGAATATGTCTTGCCGCCCCTTTCTGGCCTGCAAAGTTTCTGCTCAGCTGACAGTCTTATGGAAGCTCCCTTGTAGGTAACTAACTGCTTTTCTCTTGCTGCTTTTACGATTTTCTCTTTAGATTCATCTTGTTTGGGACTCTCTGTGCTTCTGGGACTTGTGTGTCTGTTTCCTTCACCAGGTTAGGGAAGTTGACTGTCATTTAAAAAAAAAGTTTTTTATTGTTGACAGTATTATAGTTGTTGCCCAAGTTCTTTCATTTTTTCCAAATAGCTTTTTAATTCCTTGCTCTCTCTCTTCCTTTCTGACACTTCCATGATGTGAATGTTGTTATGCTTGAAGTTATCCCAGAGGATACTTACTGTGTCCTCATTTGGGGGTATTTTTTTTCTTTTTGCTGTTCTGATTGGATGTTTTTTCCTTCCTCATTTTCCAAATCTTCGATTTGATTCTCTCCATCAATTCTACTGTTGCTTTCCTAAAATGTATTCTTCATTTCAGTTAGTGTGTCCTTTGTTTCTGACTGTTTATTTTTCTAGTTCCATTTTTATGTTTCCTGTCTCTTCGTTGAAGTTCTAAGTTCCTCTACTCTTCCCCTAAATCACTGAGGATCCTTATAACCAGTGTTTTGAACTCTGCATCCAGTAGATTGCTTGTCTCCATTTTGTTTTGTTCTTTTTCTAGAGTTTGTTCTGTTCTTTCATTTGGGACGTGTTTCTTTTTCTCCTCATTTTGGCCGCCTCTCTGTGTTGTCTCTGTGTATTAGGTAGACCTGCTGTGTCTGTGGTCTTGGTAGAGTGGACAAATGTGGTAGGTGTCCTTTGGGACCTGGTGGTATAGCCTCCCTGGCACCAGAGCCTGGCACTCCGGTGGTGTCCCCTGTGTGGGCTCTGTGCTCCCCTGTTGTAGTTGGGCTGCTGTGCGGAGACCCACCCCACCGAACAGAGCTTCCTTCAGCAGGGCTCTGGTGCCTGCCCAGTCTACCCCTTGAGTGTGTTGCTGGAGGGTGATGCTTTGACGTGGTCTGAAGCTGTCCACAGGGTGTGCTGGCTCTGGGGTCTCCTGGGAGGTGCTGGCCAAGGTCAGCCACTGCCTGTGCTCTGCCTGGGACCATCCAGCAGGAGCTACGAAGTGACCTGCAGATGACTGCGACTCGTGCTGGGCTCAGAGATGCCTGGGAGGGGCTGCTTAGCAGCAGGTGTGGGGCACGCTGGGCCAGGTGCTGTTTGTTTGGGTGTGTGGACCTTCGAGAGATTTTAGGAGAGTCTGCAGCATGAGCCAGGGCAAACTGTCTGTGGGAAAGCCACTGGAGTCGTCTGGGTGGGCCTTCCAGTTGGGTCACCAGGATCTCAGGGCATCACTGAGGCAGGCAAACCTGTTAACCTAACCAGGTTGGTAGAGACTCAGCAGTGGCACCTGCCTGTGCCTGCAGGGGGCGGGCTCGGCAGAGCTGGAGCTCAGAGGGAAAGGCTTCCGAGGAGTCTGTGTGTGGGCCCTTTAAGGGGACTCCTGGAACTCCAGACGCCCTGTGTCTCACGCAGCTGTGACCTGTCGGTTTTCATAGCCAGAAGTTAGGGGGGCTCCTCCTGGTCCCGAAGCCCTCACTTCTCGGGGTACCCTGCACAGCCAAGACATCCTTCCCCATATTTAACCTCCACACGTGGCTGTGTGACCTGGAGTGGAAGCCAGTGGTGTTGACTTTATTTTACATCAAGACAATGATGTTCCCAAAGGTGTTAAAAGCAGGGAAACTCAGCGCTAAATGGGAAATTAGTGTGAGGGCGTCGCCCTTGTCTGCGAACCGGCTGAGGACCGGCCACGTCGAGCAGGCTCGGCCCGTGACAGAGCCATCTAGGTGAGGACGGTGTCTGAGGACATGGTTCTTCACGTGGGAATTCTCCGACGAGGAGGATTGCTTCGATCAGCAGTTCAGTTCCGGGGCAGCTTTGCGTTACAGTTAACAGAATTGAGCCAATAAATAGGTGAGCCTGTTAACAGTTTGCATCTGAGATTAAAAATTTCTAAAGCACAGTTATTTTTGACTCCTCGAATGAAGTGTTCTTGACCTTCGGGTGTCATTCTAAATACTGTTTTCAATCCAAGGCTGGGCCATTGTGAAACTCTCGTCAACGATTCTTCTCTCTCCGCAGGAGGATTGTGAAGCAGAAAGCGTGTGGGCGATGGGAGGCTTAGGCATCTTGACCTCTCTCCCCATAACCCCCAGGGTGGTTTGCTTCCTCTGTGCCAGTAGTGGGCGTGTAGAGGTAAGGCCTTCTGCTGTTCTGTGCCCTCCAAGTGTAATGGCAGATTATTTTTCTGTCATGAAAACAGTCATTGTATTCCGTTTCGTTGGTATGAAACAGGTACTGCCCCTGTATAAACCAGTTCATGAAATGCTTTTGAGGTTTTTTAGAGACTCCAGGAAGGAACCTGCTGCTTTTCAGAGGAGCAGAGTTCCTGAGTGTGAAAACGGTAACGGTCCAAGCTGCTAACTTGACTCTGTACTCGAGGTCTGATTTTTCTGCTGGATGTTCAAACGCGGAGGAAAATAGTCCAGTGCTCCTGTAGAAAGGGGTGCATTTGATGGTGGTTTTATATCGAATACCAAAACCCCTGGTCTCTGAAGAGCTCTTAGCAATGATAAAAAAAACAAACAGGAATAGCACCCAGTAACAATAGGCTTAAGGACAGGAATATATAATTCACGAAATAAGAAATAAAAACATTGTGGGAGGAGGCCTTGAGCTTTCTGATAACCAGAGTGGGAAATAAAGCAGGAGCGGGTGGAAGGGGCCTCTTGGTGGGCATGGAAATTAGTTCCATCCTTTCTTTCTGAGGCTTGTGGGGAAGTATGTTTATTTTTAAGATGGGTATACCCTCTAACCCAGCGACTGCACTCTAGGCATTTATCTTGCGGGTACAGTGAGATACATTGGCACATAAGTAGATGTATGTGTATATATATGTATGTGTGTGTGATACATATATATAAGCCTCTCTCTACATGTGTATATGTATAATGAACAGAAGGGTTTCTTTCAGTGTTGTTTTTGCTGGGGTTGCTTTAGATATCGTTGAAACTAAAAAGATTCTGTCTACAAGGCCGAGGGCGACCGTATGTCTTCCTACTTGATCTAATGCTTTGCAGTCACACATACGCTACCCACAGGAATAACTTACACACAAGTACTTCAGCCTTTGTGAAAAACGTGGTTTTTTTTTTTTCAGAGTATAGTCGCTCATTTAAACTGTTTAGGCTCAGCAGTCCCACAGGGTCCCTAAAAACTGAATCCGAGGGCAAAGGACACCGGCCCTCAGTGCCCCGGTTCGCCCGCCGTCCCCATCGCACAGAATGTTTCCGTTGACACCATGTCAAGATTTGCAGAAAAGTTACAAGAGTAGAACAAAGAATTCCCATATCCCCTTCACCCAGAGTCCCCACGTGTTAATATTTTCCATTTGCTTTATTCTTTTCTCTTTGTGTATTTATATTTTACAAAATGAGAAATAAAATAGACATTTTTATAAGTAGATACATTTTTGTCTAAATATTTGAGAGCAAGTTACAGATATGTGCCATCTTACCTCTAAATATTTTACTGTGTATTTCTTAAAACCAAGGACATTCTCATAACCATATTAAATGATCAAAATGGGAAATAACATTGGTACATTATTCTTATTTAATCTGTGGACCTTATTTAGGGTTGACCCGTTGTCCCAATAATTATTTTAGGGCAAAAGAAAATTCTGGGTCACCTTCATTGGAATTTTTAAAAATATTGATATGGAAATAACTTATTTCTAAAATTGGACATGGAAGGGATAAACCGGAGCTTGCCGTTGTTTGGAATATTGTAGAAAACTTTTGAAGCCCTCCTTGTTCCCCTCCCCCTCCTGTACATCCCCAGGGCTCTGTGTCCACACCTACCGATGTCACTTAGCATACCATCGGAAATCTTGGATTGTATCTATTCTGTTACTTCATAATTTCATTATGATCTCCACTTTAGTTCCCCGAATCTCCTGCATCGCCCAGAATCATTGCTTAACAAACACATGTTGACTGAAATACAGATAGCGCTGTATTCCTGAAGCTCAAAGTGAGTGTGTGGGATTCGGTTGATGTTGCCACATGTTCCTTTACAAATACTGTTTCTGCCTCCCCCAGTTCGTGTATTGCCAAGTCTGCTGTGAGCCCTTCCACAAGTTTTGCTTAGAGGAGAACGAGCGCCCCCTGGAGGACCAGCTGGAAAACTGGTGTTGCCGTCGCTGCAAGTTCTGTCACGTTTGCGGACGGCAGCATCAAGCCACCAAGGTACAAGCCCCGCAGCGGGCTGCTTAGAGCTCTGCTTTTACTGGAGGGCTTGGTGTCTACATGTTTCCTCTTGGCTTAGTCCGTGTTGATTATTTAATTGGGTATAATCAGTTGCCTATTTGGGGGAAGATAGCAGCAAACATGACACTGGATAAAGTCCCCCAAACAAGTCCAGTCCACCCGGTAAGAATATTCATCACTGAGTTCTCGGGTGGGAAGGAAACCCCGTGCTTTCGTGGAGGGTGAGTTGCCCGTGAGGAAACTAACTGCGTGTGATGTGCTGGACTCAGGCGAGAGCCCACAGAGGGGGCGGGAGTCGCCGGTGTTCAGTGGAGGTGTGGCGCCCACCCTTCTGCCTTCACATTTTTCTGCAGCAGCTGCTGGAATGTAACAAGTGCCGAAACAGCTATCACCCCGAGTGCCTAGGACCTAACTACCCCACCAAGCCCACGAAGAAGAAGAAGGTCTGGGTGAGCGCACCGTGCTGTTCGGGAGGGAGGCCCCGGGCTGGGCTGGGGCCACTCGTGGGCATGCCTGGCTCGAGGTGCCAGTGTGGCCGCCTTGTTTCGGCCTCATCAGAAGAAGCCATCCCAGTAGGGAAGCCGGCTGTGGACGCCGGTGGCCTCTCGCAAGCAGAGCACTGGCTGAGCCGCCCCTCTCCTTCCAGATCTGCACCAAGTGCGTGCGCTGCAAGAGCTGCGGGGCCACGACGCCCGGCAGAGGGCGGGACGCGCAGTGGTCTCACGACTTCTCGCTCTGCCACGACTGTGCTCAGCTCTTCGCTAAAGGTACTGCGATGCCGGCCCAGGCCTGTCCTGCCTCTTGTGGAGGCGACCCGCACCCAGTGGAGTAAGATGAGAGTCTTACACGCCTCAGCAAGCACACCCTTGAGACACAGCGACTGCTTCTGGCCCGGCTCCTGTGCACAGTTGGAGCGCTAGACAGCTGCGTTAGGTCGAGGGGGAACTGAGCAGGTTTCATAAGGGTTAGCTCACCATAAAGCAAGCTCTGAGCCAGTGCCTCCCAGAGCCAGGGACAGCGATAGTCATTGTTTCCGAAGTGAGTTTATGTGGTACCGAGGCAAACAGTTCACTTTAATATTGATGCTAGAAAAAAACATACGTAATACATTAAACTCATTTAATTGACTAAGGATAATAATGATGTAAAAGTTCACCATCGAAGCTATTTAAAATAAGTAAATCAGTGTGAAGTCTATTAAGTATAAAATAGTAGGGGATACGTGGATGAAGCAAATTATTGAAGGTACTTCATTGTGCTGAATTTTCGGAAGTGCTCTGCTGGGAATAAGGGAGAGTGTGAATTAACAAATGGCTTTTACCCCCATGTCCTCACCTCTTCTTAAAAATTTAAACATTTCTTTTGAATGTTTAAGAGAGAACGTTCTCTTCCGTTCTCCTATTCCGTTATCTCTAAAATCGACCTCATAAGCTTTGAGAATGGGTCTAAAGAGAAGTAGTGGCATCGTCGGAGAGCTCAGAATGATCTGGACGCTCCGCAGGTGTGTGGACGCTTGGTGGGTGCGTGCTGGCAGGTGTGAGTCGTTCCAGAAGCAGGCTGTCGGGCTGGCTGTCAGATGGGGCCTGGGGGTCGTCGGTGTGTCAGCCCAAGCGCTGCTGACACCTTGGCTTTGCTTTCAGGAAACTTCTGTCCGCTCTGTGACAAGTGTTACGACGACGACGACTACGAGAGTAAGATGATGCAGTGTGGGAAGTGCGACCGCTGGGTCCACTCCAAATGTGAGAATCTTTCAGGTACAGAAGGTTGGCGTCTTTTTATTTCCGTTTCCTTCCTTCTTGTTTCTGCTACATTTCTAGCCCCCAAAGTGCTACCAGTGTGAAATTACGGCAGTGTTATTCGAAGTCTTTTAAAATTATTTCTTTAGTCTCTAGAATCAACAACATTGTGTGAAGTTTGTGGTCATTGATCTTGAGCATATGCCCCTGAACTATTTACCTGCTGTCTTTGCTGGTACTATAACCTGTTGATTCCCCAGGAACCAGATCCTAGGTTAGTGTTAATGATGTCCCTTTAAAGATCAATGTGAGTCCCCAGGGGATGCTAGTCTCACTGGGGTTCCTACCGGGGGTTCCTGTTTCGCTCAGTGGACTAGTCCTCTTTTCCCTCTCCCACTCTTCAAAGCACCTCATCACTGTAGTTTTTGCTTCCCTAGATGAGATGTATGAGATTCTGTCTAATCTGCCAGAAAGTGTGGCCTACACTTGTGTGAACTGCACCGAGCGGCACCCTGCGGAGTGGCGCCTGGCCCTGGAGCAGGAGCTGCAGACATCGCTGAAGCAGGTGCTCACGGCCTTGCTGAACTCGCGCACCACCAGCCATCTGCTGCGCTGCCGGCAGGTAGGCCGCCTGCGTCCTGGGAGTCGGGCTCCGCGGTTGGTGCTGCTAACAACGGTTTGGGGTTGGTTGGGGTTTTTTTTCTTTTTTAAAAAAAATTTGCGGGTGAGAGAGAAACCACAGGACTTATATGCATGAACAATGGACATTGTTCATGGACAACAAAGCTGGGAACAGGGCGGGGAGGGAGGGGAGGGGGTATCAGTGGGGGGGAAAAGGAGAAACACCTGTAACATAAATAAATTAATTAATTTCAAAATAAAAAATTGCTTCAGCTCTGACCAGTTTGACTCAGCAGTTAGAGCTTCGGCCTGTGGACCGAAGGGCGCAGGTTCGATTCCTGGTCCAGGTCGTGTACCTGGGTTGCAGGTTCCGTTCTAAGCTCCGGTCGGGGTCGTGCAGGAGGCAGCTGGTTGATGTGTCTCTCTCTCATTGATGTTTCTATCTCTCCCTCTCTCTTTAAAATCAATAAAAACATATTTAAAAAAAAATTTTTTTTTTTTGCTTCATTTAGTTATTTAGGTTACTTGCTTTGACCTAAAAGCATTGAGAACATTTTTAGAGCCAAGAATAGGACCTTCTTTGGGGTAAGAAACAGGAAGCGGCCATACCTTGAAAGGCCTTACTGTTGTTGTAAGACATTTGGACTTGTGCTCTGAAGGCTGTGGGGAGGCAGTGAAGGGCTCCCCCAGGAGAGGGGCCCAGCCCGCCAGGTGGCTCCGCTGGAGCGCCGACCCGTGCACCAGAAGGTTGTAGGTGCCGATCAGTCACATGCCCAGGTTGCAGATTCAGCCCCTGTCGGGGTGCGTTCGGGAAGCAACCAATAGATATTTCTTACATCGATATTCTCTCTCACTTGCTCTCAAAAAAAAATCAGTAAAAAAATAAAAAAGAGTAACCTGATCAGAGTTGCTGTTCAGAAAAGGAATGATTCTGACTGGAGAGAGGGAAAGGGTTGGAGAGGTCTGAGCTTGGAGGCTGCAACAGCGGGTGAAAGGAAGGCGTGTAAGTCTAGGTGAGAGCGAGCGTGGCCGCCTGGTCTAAGGAGAGTAGGCTGGAGGCCCTCGGCTCCGGGAAGTCCCTGGGGCTCCTCAGGGCACGATTTGAAAACCGCTCTTTTTCCCAGACAAGTTGTGGCTGCACTTCTGTAAGCAGTCACTGGGAGGGGACACACGGTGTGATGGTCGGAAGGACCACGTGGTGATAGCGCAGAGTCAGGCTCTGTCTCTCGTAATAGAGCTTAATATTCCCGATGAGAAAGGTGGCTGCCGTCGGCGTCTGGCTCAGAAGCACCTGGACAGTCTCTATGTCTTGATGCTGAGTTTGGAAGTTACCGGCGAAGCTCAACTCCCTAGCGGAGCTGTTAGATAACTGACCCATTTTAATTCCTTTTCTGTAATTGGAGAAATCTCTTATTTTCATGTTAAGTTTTAGAATATGAATTATTCAGTACCCACTTTATTAACTTTAATATAATTTGCACAGATGCCTCATTTTCGGTGTTAGATCAATGAAACCTGTCTTTCCTGGCAACAGGCTGCCAAGCCTCCAGACTTAAATCCCGAGACAGAGGAGAGTATACCTTCGCGCAGCTCCCCAGAGGGACCCGATCCCCCAGTGCTCACTGAAGTCAGCAAGCAGGAGGACCAGCCGCCGTTAGATCTGGAAGGAGTGAAGAGGAGGATGGACCAGGGGAACTACACGTCTGTGGTACGTCTACAGCAGACTCCCAAATCCCAAGTGCCGGTTCCGTTTCCTCAGGGGTGACTAGTATTATGTTTGGAAATGTCATGAGGCTTTAAATACCTACAAATAGGTGAGTTGTTTTAGCTCTGTGTTTTAGAAGTTAGTTGTGATAGGGAAGTGGGGTTTTAAATGGTTCTTCTTATTTGGATTTCATCTGAGTTCTCTAAAGATTATTTTTATATTTAAATCACTTTTATATTAAAACTGCTGATGGCCCTGACCAGTGTGGTGCAGATGGTTGAGTGCCATGCCGTGCAGAGGTTGCTGGTTCAATTCCTGGTGGAGGCAGGCACATGGCCAGGTTTCAGACTTGATCCCCAGTGGGCATCGATCCCCAGTGGGGGGCATGTGATCGATTCTCTCTTCCTCCCTCCCCCAGTCTCTAAAAATTAATAAAAAAAAACTGTTTATGGGGGAAATGACAATGTGAAGTTAATTGGTTTTACCTTTTTGAGATAACGCCTGAATAACGCCTTTCTGTTTTCCAAACTATACAGGAAATGATTGTTATCTTGCCCTCCATGTTTGCTAGTCAGTTGTTAATTCATTTTAGTCCAAATAGAGCACTCTGGCCCTGTTTGGGTAACTTACCATGATACAACTAATTGAGTTGCATTCTTGCTTTGTTGTTAGCCTTGCGTCTCTTGACTTCCAGAGCTCACTGTGAACTGACTCCGAATGCCTCCTCTAAGGAGGGACCACACTGTATGAAAAGAAGGTGTTGGTTTCCTGTTGGACCCTGTGCTGGATGTTTTAGGAGAGAAAGGGAAGTGGTTTTGAGAGCACACTGCTTTATGAATAATTAATGCTTTGTTTCGTCTGCAGTTGGAGTTCAGTGATGACATCGTGAAGATCATCCAAGCAGCCATGAATTCCGACGGGGGGCAGCCAGAGATTAAAAAGGCCAACAGCATGGTCAAGTCCTTCTTTATTCGGGTGAATGATATTAATAGTTCATCTTTCTAATGCTCATCTGTGGGTAATTACCCCAGGAACAGAACACCTTTTCTCTTCTGCACTTGGCTTTGCTCTGTGTATAAGACATCTTTTGGATTAATTCATCCCTCGAATTCTTTGGGGGGAAATGGGTGAGGACGCCCGAGTGGATGGATCTTTCTCTGGTGGTCTGGCATCATCCTCGTCTTGACAGAAGCTTCTGTGATGTTGTTGGCTTTTAGGTGGTTTCCAAGTGGACATTCACATGTTTATATTTTATTTGTTTGTTTTTCTGTTAGCAAATGGAACGTGTTTTTCCGTGGTTCAGTGTCAAAAAGTCCAGGTTTTGGGAGCCAAATAAAGTATCAAGCAAGTAAGTAATTCTGTATCACACTTTTTTCTCATCAGCTAGCAACCTGAGAGTTCTCATATATTTAGATTGAGGTTTTTGAAGACTATGTTTTAATACTAAAAAAAGTAATCAGTTGAGCCCTGGTCAGTTTGGCTCAGCAGTTGGAACATCGGCCTGTGGTCCAGAGAGACCCGGGTTCGGTTCCAGCTAAGGGCACGTACCTCGGTGGCAGTTTGTCCCCGGTCCTGGTCGGGTCGTGCGGGAGGCAGCCACTTGATGTGTCCCTTTCACGTCGATGTTTCTCTCTCTCTCTTCCTCTCTCTCCCTCCCATTATCTGAACAACAACAACAAAAAGTAATCTGTTGAAATGCTTTTTTAGTGCTGGCTTAGAGACAAAACAGTGTTGTTATAGTCTGTTGTTATCATTGGGTTTTATTTTATTCAGTTCAAATGGTGTTCTCTACCTCTCTTGAGTCTCTGTATTTAATATCACATAGTAATATATAATAATACATTTTAATTCCAGTGAATTAGTTTGATTCTTTGATGAGATTATCATCTGTTTCTAGAAGTTTAACCAGGAGTCAGACATCAGGATTGTGTTTTCCAACCTAACATGAAGTCCTGTGTGTCGGGGCAGTTTTCAGATTGTGGCTTGTTCTTACACTGTGAATGGCTCGTGCGCGGGGCCAAGCCCCGATGATGTCGAGAATGTCGTTGTTGTGTACGGCTCTGCGCCCGTTCCCGGGCTCAATAAAGACCTGTCGAATCGATTATTTCCAGCAGTGGGATGTTGCCCAACGCAGTGCTTCCACCTTCACTTGACCATAATTATGCTCAGTGGCAGGAGCGAGAGGAGAACAGCCACACTGAGCAGCCTCCTTTAATGAAGAAAATCATCCCGGCTCCCAAACCCAAAGGGCCCGGAGAACCCGACTCGCCGACTCCTCCGCACCCTCCCACGCCGCCAGCTCCGAGTAAGCCGCCCCGCGAGGCGCCGTCCGGCCGGTGTCCGCGGCCACTTCGCGCGTCCAAATGTAGTGTCCTTCGTGTTGGGCATTTCGAGGCGATGCTTAAATGTGATAGAATCATTATTTTTGCTTTACTTGGCATGCTAATGAGGAATTCATATCAATACTCGTAACAGGTGGTGAGATAGTATAACTTTGAGCAGTTTCGAAAGTGTTCGTTTTATAGGCTGTAGGCTATTTTTGCTGAATTGTTTTCTCTTTCCTGGAAATCAGAATTAGTTTGCCAGTTTTAACGGGATGTCTTTTGGATTCCAAGGTACTGATAGGAGTGGAGAAGATAGTCCGGAACTGAACCCACCCCCAGGCATCGAGGACAACAGGCAGTGTGCACTGTGCCTGATGTACGGCGACGACAGTGCTAATGTAAGGACCGCGGCTCGGCCTGCTGCTAGCCGCTCAGAACGAACTGGCTGTCCTGTGTGTCCCAGCCTGACGCTGAGTTTCCTTTCTTTAATGGATGTTGGTCACTTAATTTGTGGAACTTGGGGTTTTGTTTTGTTTTGTTTTTCTATAACTGATTTAGTTTATTTAAAAGATGATTTGCGCCCAGCCGGTGTGGCTCAGTGGCTGAGCGTCGACCCAGGCACCAAAAGGTTCGATTCCCGGACAGGGCACACGCCCAGGTTGTGGGCCTGATCCCCAGTGGGGGACATGCAGGAGGAGGCCAGTCGATGTTCTCTCTCATCGATGTTTCTATCTCTCTCCCTCCCCCTTCCTCTGTGTCTAAAATCAATAAAGAAAAAAAAAATTAAAGATCATTTGCCTTAAATTAACCTGGTGATGTCTAGTAAATTTCCCCAGGAAGTTGCTCAAAAAGATTGTGTGAATGTCAGTAACATGTAAGTTGCATATTAAATAACCTGTAAGTCATGTAATGTGGCGGTATGGTTACGCTCCCCGGTTGGGACAGACTGCCTGCATCCATTCCTGTGCTGCTGACCTTAGCAAGGAGCTTAACCTCTCTGACCCTCAGTTTCATCTTTAAAATGAGGATACTAACGACAGTAATAATATTCACCTCAGAATGGTTATGAGGACTAAAGGAAACAATGTATATAAAGCCTTACTTACTACCTGGCACATAGTGCGCTTACAATTAAAAAATTTTTTAGGTTTTTTTAGTGCAAGCTGAGGGAATTGGCTTTGAAATATGGTTTTAAAGAAGTCAGTGCATTTTTATAAAGTAGCCCCAGTCTGTGGAAGAGGTCATCAGAAAGGAGAGTAGAAGCAGAAACATTGAGAAAGAAGTGTGATTTTTTTTTTTAATGTGTATGTTCACTGAAAGAATTTTGATTAGTTTATTGAAGATGTCTTGACTGAGGGACAGCAGACACCAAGGAAAACTTTCTTTGACGTAATATTCTTTAAAGAAAAAGGAAATCCCTTTATTTCACAGGATGCCGGCCGTTTGCTGTACATTGGCCAGAATGAGTGGACGCACGTGAACTGTGCCCTGTGGTCAGCAGAGGTGTTCGAGGACGATGATGGGTCCCTGAAGAACGTGCACATGGCTGTGGTCAGGGGCAAGCAGCTGGTGAGCGCTGTGGGTGGACCCCATGGAGGAGACTCCCTCTGCGCCCAGACGTGCTCCCTGGGGCTCAGTGCAGCCTCGCGGGTGCTTCTCGGCGCCCACAGGTGCCGGCCAAGAGCAGGCGCCGGTGTCCGCTGCAGGCGGATTATTGTTATCCTGACTGGGACTGTGGGCGCAAAAGCAAAGAGTGTCGCCCCTGGAGCAGGGCCCAGATGGTGATGTGGCAGAACACGGCAGTGACGCACAGACTAGTTCCAGGAAATGCCCGTCCCGTGATAGGTTTGCTGAGCGTGGCAACTAGGAACCGTCATGTTTCTGACTAGCATAATCTTTCTAGAACTGAGTTCTTTCGGACATCATATGTTTTGGTCCAAACTCTAAATCAAATTGTAATATTTAAATGTAGTGGAGGCAGCATGGACGGTGGGCGAGGGGGTCTGCAGAGGGGACCTGCTGGCTCATAGCCCTGTTCTGTGACCGTCAGACTGTCCCTCAGTAGAACGAAGGGGAGGAAACCCAGAAGGGGGGATTCTGTTGGAGGAGATGGGAGAAGGCTTAAAGCTCGGAAGTCTGACCCGGACTCTGTTCTCTGGATTGTTAGAGGTGTGAGTTCTGCCAGAAGCCAGGAGCCACTGTGGGCTGCTGCCTCACCTCCTGTACCAGCAACTATCACTTCATGTGTTCCCGGGCCAAGAACTGTGTGTTTCTGGATGATAAAAAAGTGTATTGCCAGCGACATCGGGATTTGATCAAAGGCGAGGTGAGAGGTTTCGTTGCGTTTTGAATTCTCTGGGAATCCGGGGACACGTTGCAAACAGCAGGCGTGGTGTGAACTTGGTCACACTGGGTGTTGCTGGAGTCTGCTCCTTTTGGAGGAGCCCGGAAGGCGGTTCCGAGACGTGCTCTGGACTTGCCGAGAGAGGCGCAGCGTGGGAATCGCTTCCGGAGGGGCCGCCTGAGCACCGCCCTGGGTTCTCGTTTAAGGTGGTTCCTGAGGACGGATTTGAAGTGTTGAGAAGAGTGTTTGTGGACTTTGAAGGGATCAGCTTGAGAAGGAAGTTTCTGAACGGCCTGGAACCAGAAAGCATCCACATGATGATCGGTACGACGTGGCCTTGGCTGCGGGGAAGGCTGGCGGTGTCGCTGGAGTTGCTTCCTCGTCTTCGTTCACACAGACCATGGCACAGCCCCTCTAACGCATTCTTCTCTCCTGCTCAGGCTCCATGACAATCGACTGCTTAGGAATTCTGAGCGATCTTTCTGACTGTGAAGACAAGCTTTTCCCTATCGGATATCAGTAAGTAGCTCTGCAAACCACGCCACCCTGCAGCAATGACCAGACTGTAAACGCAGAGCCTGCTTGTTCGCTGCTTTGACTGCTCTTAGGATTAGCTGCTCTGTTTGCCCTGTCCAGCTTGGCTCAGCAGTTAGAGCGTCGGCCCACGGACCAGAGTGTGGGTTCGAATCCAGCCAGGGGCATGTACCCCGGCTGCTGTTCCGTCCCAGCCCTGGTTGGGGTCATGAGGGAGGCAACCAATTGATGTGTTTCTCTCTCTCTCTCCCGCTCTCTCTCCCCCCCCCCTTCCACTCTATCTAAAAATCAATGGAAAAATATCCTTGGGTGAGGATTAAAAAAATTTTTTTTTTTTTTTACTTTTTTGCTACTTCTCTTGATTAGGACTAAAGTATTTTATGTCAGCTGAATCCAGTTATGGAAGAAAAGCATTGAATAATATTGTGATAAGTTTGCACAGTGGCAGGTGATCACATTGTAAGGTATAAAAATGTTGAATCACTGCCCTGGTTGGTCAGCTCAGTTGGTTAGAGCGTTGTCCTGATCCGCCAAGGCTGTGGGTTTAATCCCCTGGTCAGGGCACATGCAGGAATCAACCAGTAAGTGCATAGATACGTGGAACAACAAATTGATGTTTCTCTCTCTCTTGTTTCCTCTCTCTTTAAAATCAATGAAATTAAATTAAAAATTTAAAAAGTATATTGAATCACTATATTATACACCTAAAACCAATATAACTAATATTGTATACCAACTACACTTTTATTAAAATTTTTCCAGAATTATTTCTAAATAAAATCTAAATAGAAAACACAATGTCAGTTTCTTGAGATGCCACTAAATCCCATCATTTGGATTCAAAAGTCCAGCTTGTCATGGACCACACACGCCCTGTGCCTCTGTCCTCAGTTTTACATTGTATAGGTCCTTCTAAAAATAGAACCCCCACAAAAATAATCAGATTCTCCAGTAGGAATGTATCATCTTTCCCATATGAAGTAAGTTGTTTAAACTTCTAGCAAGCTGACCATATGAATTAGAAATTCCCTCTCTCCCCCTTAGAGTCTCACTTTGCTGTGCGCACTTGATCCGACTCTGCACCCCGCTCTGACAGCAGTCTAGACCCCGCATGGAGCTCTGGCTCCTCGTGTAAGCTAGGGCCCTCGGCAGCCAGCCAGCTGGAGTTGTCCCCTGGGGCTTCCCACTCGCACGTGCTGTGGGGCCGTCCTCCCTTGCTGGCGGCAGTGACTGTTTGTCGCGGTACTTTCTCTCTCTGCGTTTTAGGGTATTTTACTATTTCTGTCCACTGTTTACAACACAATTAAAAGAAAATATTTTGTTGCTGGTTTCTAAGAGGCTAGAAAAAAAAACAAGGACTTTCAAAGAGCTTGGAACCTCCTAACTTGGGAAGTCCATGAGAGTCCATGAAATAAAACTAAATTCTATCAGTCCAGGGGACCAGTCACCCAGGATGAGAATCGGTTGTGACAGGTGTTAGTCCGCTTCTGTGTGCTCACTTGTGGTTTTCACACGTCTGCCCGGCTAGGTGTTCCAGAGTCTACTGGAGCACCACGGATGCCCGGAAGCGCTGTGTGTATACCTGCAAGATCGTGGAATGCCGCCCCCCGGTGGTGGAGCCGGATATCAACAGCACCGTGGAGCATGATGAAAATAGGACCATTGCCCATAGCCCAACATCTTTTGCAGGTTAGTCTGTAGTCCAGATGTCCCTGGAATTCGGTTTGTGGGAGGACTGTGAGTGGAGCATGGGGAAAACATCCTTTCTTTGGGAGGTCTCATTGGATATGTTACCTAATAGCTGGCTTTTTACGGGGTCATTTGTTTGATACTTTAATTGGACTTTTTTTTAGTAAGGGTCTTTATATCCTACCACAGAAATTCCATCTAAAGAAAGTCAAAACACAGCTGAAATTGTAAGTCCTCCATCTCCAGACCGACCTCCTCATACGCAAACCTCTGGTTCCTGTTTTTATCATGTCATCTCAAAGGTTCCTAGGATTCGAACACCCAGTTATTCTCCAGCACAGAGGTCGCCTGGCTGCCGGCCACTGCCTTCTGCAGGTAAAGGACGCCGCTGGCCCCCGGCCAGGCCTGAGCACGTGGTTCTTTCGGGCGGCTTTGTGCTGCGACTTAGCTTATTGCAGGTGCTGACTTTTAGTCACCTGCGCATACCGATAGCCGAGTCATTGAGACCCGTGACGACCACACATTTGTTCTGTCTGTGATAGACTGTTCCTTTCTCTCTCCTGTTCAGGGAGTCCTACTCCAACCACTCATGAAATAGTCACCGTGGGGGATCCTTTACTCTCCTCTGGGCTTCGAAGCATTGGCTCCCGGCGTCACAGTGCTTCTTCCTCATCACCCCAGCAGTCTAAGCTCCGGATAATGTCTCCGCTGAGAACTGGGGGCACCTACTCCAAGAATAGTATTTCTTCACTCTCCACCACGGGGACCACTACAGATCTCGACTCAGGTACCAAAGCAGTCGATCATGTCCTAGGGCCACTGACTTCAAATAATAATTTAAGGCAAAACACTCCCACCTCTTCGAATTTGCAAAGGACAGTCGTGACCATGGTCACGAAAAGCAGCCACGCGGACGGGTCTTCAGCTGCGGAAGCGCAGCATTCCAGTGCGTCCGATTCGGCGTCCAGCGGCGCCTGTCTGAAGGGGGAGAAGGCGAAGATGCTGAGTTCCAGGAGCGCAGAGGGGGCTGCCCATGCCGTGTCTTACCCTGGCATCCCCAAACTGGCGCCCCAGCCTCATAATGCAGCGTCTGGCGAAGTAAATGTGAGTAAGATCGGCGCTTTCGCTGAATTCTCTTCTGTGCCGTTTTCTCCTAAAGAGGCCCCCTCCTTCCCGCCGCTCCGGCTGCGAGGGCAAAGGGGTGGCCGAGACCAGCACACGGACTCCAGCCAGGCGGGGAGCCCCCCTGCCGACGAGGAGGCGGAGGCCAGGGCCTCGAAGCCGCCTGCCGTGAGCAGCAGGTCCTCTCTGGTCAGCGAACACGGGGGGCCCAGCCCCAGGGACAGGAGGCAGAAAGGGAGGAAGGCTTGTGGAGAAGCTCTCGGGGAAAAGCACCCCAGCAGACCCTTTCTGGGGCCTGGCCAGGCGGCAGCTGCTGAGGAAGGAGACCCGAAGTCCGAGTTTGTTGATGAGGTTTTGGCTCCTGAATTTATGGGACGACGGCCGTGTAATAATGTTTCTTCTGATAAGAGTGGGGACAAAGCCCTCTCTTCACCAGGAGTCCCCAAAGCCTCGTCCATGCACGTGGAGGGCCCTGCCAAGGAATTGCAGACACCCCGGAAACGCACAGTCAAAGTCACACTGACGCCACTGAAGATGGAAAGTGAGAGTCGGTCCAGGGACACCCTGAAGGACAGTGGCCCTGCCTCCCCTTTGCAGGTAGAGTCCGCGTCTCCAGCAGAACCAGTTTCAGCCTCTGAGAGTCCAGGAGATGGTCTAGTGGCCCAACCAAGCCCCAATAATACCTCAGCCCAGGAGTCTCAGAGTAACAGCTACCAGAATCTTCCAGTACAGGACAGGAGCCTCATGCTTCCCGACGGCCCCAAGCCGCAGGAGGACGGCTCCTTCAAGAGGAGGTACCCCCGCCGCAGTGCCCGCGCGCGCTCCAACATGTTCTTCGGGCTCACCCCGCTGTACGGAGTGCGGTCCTACGGCGAAGAGGACATCCCGTTCTTCAGCAGCTCGACCGGGAAGAAGCGAGGCAAGAGGTCGGCCGAAGGACAGGTGGACGGGGCTGACGACCTGAGCACGTCGGATGAGGACGACCTGTACTACTACAATTTCACCAGGACGGTCATTTCCTCGGGCGCAGAGGAGCGGCTGGCGCCCCACAACTTGTTTCGGGAGGAGGAGCAGTGTGACCTTCCCAAAATTTCGCAGCTGGATGGTGTTGATGACGGGACAGAGAGTGACACTAGCGTCACGGCCTCCACCAGGAAAACCAGTCAGATTCCAAAGAGAAACGGCAAAGAAAACGGAACGGAGAACTTGAAGATCGAGCGCCCCGAAGACGCCGAGAAAGAACATGTCATGAAGAGTCCTGTCGGCCACAAAAACGAGCCAAAGATGGATAACTGCCACTCCGTGAGCAGAGTGAAGACGCAGGGCCAGGATGCTTTGGAAGCTCAGCTCAGCTCCTTAGAGTCGAGCCGCAGGGCCCACACCAGCACCCCCTCAGACAAAAACCTGCTGGACCCCTACAACGCGGAGCTGCTGAAGCCCGACTGCGACAACAACAACAGCGACGACTGCGGGAACATCCTGCCCTCCGACATCATGGACTTCGTGCTGAAGAACACCCCGTCCATGCAGGCCCTGGGGGAGAGCCCGGAGTCCTCCTCGTCAGAGCTGCTGAATCTCGGCGAAGGCTTGGGCCTCGATAGTAACCGTGAGAAGGACATGGGGCTTTTCGAGGTGTTTTCCCAGCAGCTGCCGCCCACGGAACCCGTGGAAAACAGTGTCTCTTCTTCCATCTCAGCAGAAGAGCAGTTTGAGTTGCCTCTCGAGCTACCGTCTGATCTCTCTGTCCTGACCACCCGGAGCCCCACTGTCCCTAGCCAGAACCCCAGTAGACTAGCTGTGATCTCAGACTCAGCGGAGAAGAGGGTGACCATCACAGAAAAGTCTGTGGCCTCCTCCGAAGATGACTCGGCACTGCTGACCCCAGGAGTGGACCCGGCGCCTGAAGACCACATGACTCCGGATCATTTCATCCAGGGACACATGGATGCCGACATCTCCAGCCCTCCCTGTGGCTCAGTGGAGCAAGGTCATGGCAACAATCAGGACCTCACTAGAAACAGCAGCACCCCTGGCCTCCAGGTCCCTGTGTCCCCTACGGTTCCTATCCAGAACCAGAAATACGTGCCCAATTCTACTGACAGTCCCGGCCCGTCTCAGATTTCGAATGCAGCCGTGCAGACCACTCCGCCCCACCTGAAGCCACCCACTGAGAAGCTCATTGTTGTCAACCAGAACATGCAGCCATTGTATGTTCTCCAGACTCTTCCCAACGGAGTGACCCAGAAAATCCAGCTGACCTCTTCCGTGAGCTCTGCGCCCAGCGTGATGGAGACAAACACTTCGGTGCTGGGCCCCATGGGCAGTGGTCTCACGCTGACCACGGGGCTGAGCCCGAGCTTGCAGACCTCCCCGTCCCTGTTCCCCCCTGCGGGCAAGGGGCTGCTCCCCATGTCTCACCACCAGCACCTGCATTCCTTCCCCGCAGCCGCTCAGAGTAGTTTCCCCCCTAACATCAGCAGTTCTCCCTCGGGCCTGCTCATTGGGGTGCAGCCGCCTCCAGACCCCCAACTTCTGGTGTCAGAAGCCAGCCAGAGGACAGACCTCAGCACCACAGTGGTCACTCCGTCCCCTGGACTCAAGAAGAGACCCATCTCTCGTCTGCAGACCCGGAAGAATAAAAAACTTGCCCCCTCCAGCACCCCGTCGAGCATCGCCCCTTCCGATGTGGTTTCTAACATGACGCTGATCAACTTCACGCCCTCCCCGCTTCCAAGCCACCCCAGTCTGTTAGACTTGGGGTCACTCAATGCTTCATCCCACCGAACTGTCCCCAACATCATAAAAAGGCCTAAGCCGGGCCTCATGTACTTCGAGCAGGCGCCCCTGTTACCACAGACGGTGGGGGGCACCGCGGCCACGGCAGCGGGCGCAGCAGCAGGGAGCCAGGACACTGGCCACCTCACTTCAGGGCCCGTGGCTGGCTTGGCATCCGGTTCCTCTGTCCTGAATGTCGTGTCCATGCAAACGACAACAGCCCCTACAAGCAGTGCGTCTGTCGCAGGACACGTCACGTTGACCAGCCCCAGGTTGCTGGGTGCCCCGGAGACGGGCTCAGTAAGCAACCTGCTCATCACGCCGAGCCAGCAGGGCCTGGGGCTTCAGGACCAGCCTGTGGCGGTACCGCCAAGTTCAGGGATATTTTCGCAGCTGGGGTCGTTACAGACTCCCTCGACCACTGCGATGACCGCAGCGCCGAGCATCTGTGTCCTCCCCTCGACGCAGGCCGTGGGCATGGCGGCCGCTTCCCCTTCCAGGGACGCTGACGAGCACTACAAGCTTCAGCACGTGAACCAGCTGCTGGCCAGCAAGACCGGAATCCTCTCCTCCCAGCACGACCCCGACGCCGCTCCCGGGACCCAGGGGCCCAGCTTCATGCAGGCGGGAGATGCTCCTGAGAGCGTGCGGCTGGAGCAGAGCAAGGCTTTGCCTTCCGCTCGACAAGCCAGCTCGGCCTCTCCCGCAGCCTCGCCGCCCTCTGCTCAGCAGTCGGCAAGCCCCCCCGTGCCAGGCCCCACGAAACCCAAACCAAAAATCAAGCGGGTTCAGCTGCCTGCGGACAAAGGGAATGGCAAGAAGCACAAAGCCGCCCACTCGCGGACCAGTTCCTCCGAAGCACACGCTCCAGACCAGGAAGCCAGCGCGTCGCCCCTGGCCGCCTTCACCGGGTGAGAGCGAGCAGCGCGCGGGAGGGCTCGGGTTCGTGCCCTGGAGCAGGCCCTCTACGGGGTCATCTCGGGGCAAGGGCAGTCTCCCATCCAGGGCGCAACATTTGGGTATTTTCTGGGTTTTTTGTTTGTTTGTTTTTGTTTTTTGTTTTTTTGGTGCACGCCCTTAGCGGGAACCGAACCTGGGACTCTCTGGTCCACAGGCCGATGCTCTAACCGCTGAGCCAAACTGGCCAGAACATATTTTCTGGGTTTCAACTTGGAGGTTTTTGTCCACTCACAGCAGTGATTTATAGAGCACAGTTCCGTTCGTGGGCGGTTCGCCTCTTGCGTGTCCTGTAGTCTCTCTGCTCCGCTCTGAAGCGGTGCTGCTGTGCCGAGGCCCGAGGACACTGAGGGCGATTGTCCCGTGTAGAGTGCGGCAAATAACGTGCACAGGTGAACTCTACACATACGTGCACCCATGTAGCCCCCAGGAGGCCCCTCCTCGCGCCCTCTTGGTCAGTACCCCACAAGGTGACCGGCTTCTAACCTGTATCGCCACAGGTGTTTTCCAGGCTCATGAGTTCACTAGATCCTGACGGTGGTTTCTTTACACTGGCCCCACACGGGTCCGTGTTCACTGACTGTTCTGTTCCAGGCCCCCAGACGCAGAGGCCGAGCCGCAGGGCGCAACGGGCGCGGAGCCGCAGGCACAGGAGGGCGGGCCGCCTGCAGGGTGAGTGTGGGGAGTCCTTCCCGGGGTGCCCGCGGCCCTGTCCACCTCGCGTCACAGCAGGTCCTCCTGACTGGTGCGGGTGTTTGAGGCCACAGTGCTGATGTTTTTGTTTTCGTTTTGAATCCTCACCCAGGGATACGTTTATTGGTTTGAGAGAGAAGCATTGATCGATTGCCTCCTGCATGCAGCCCAACTAGGGATCGAACCTGCAACCAGGGCATGTGCCCTGACCAGGAACTGAACCTGCAGCCCTTCGGTGCTTGGGATGATGCTCCAACCAACTGAGCCACACTGGCCAGGGCACCAAAGTTTTTTGTTTTTTTAAATGGAAGTAATATATGCTCATTAAAAAAAAAAGGACAGCAATAGAGAATTATGTAAATAACGGATAATGGTTCCCTGTTTGTCCTGCCTAACCCCCTCCCGAGCCGTTCCTTAGAGGTGACATTACTAATACTTTGTTTTCACTCATGGAGATGTTCCTGTACGTGTACAGATGCACATGGGGTGGATGTGGATGTGTCTGTACTTTTTTTCATCCTCACCCGAGGACATTTTTGCATTTATCTTCAGAGGGAGGAAGAGAGAGAGAGAAACATCGAGTGGCTGCCACCCACACAACCCCAACCAGGCCGGGGACAAACTGCAACCGAGGTACATGCCCTTAGCGGAAACCGAACCCGGGCCTCTCTGGTCCGCGGGTCGAGCGCTAACCGCTGAGGCAAACCGGCGAGGGCCGGCTGTGCTTTCTGACGTGAGGTACTGACGCTCTGCGTCCTGTTCTCTGCTGGGTGTCGGCAGTCAGTGCACGGGCGTCTCGGGGCAGCATTTCCAGGACACTTCGCTTTCAGAGACGGCTGAGTCCTAGGGGTGGCTCGCCGCTGATTTAGCCCCTAGAGGTATGCATTTGGATGGTTTCCAAGTAATTTTTAAAAGTGAACATTGATGGTGTTCTGGTAGCTCATCTTTTGTCTTTACTTAAAGCAGCCACTCCCCGGCGGGTGGCTCAGGCGCCCTGTGCACCGAAAGGTTTGGTTCCCAGTGGGGCAGGTGCGGGAGGACCAGTCGATGTTTCTCTCCTTCTCTTCGAAGTCAGCAAACGTATCTTTGGGTGAAGACGTGAGATAAACAGTAGCGTCCTGGGCAGCTTGTAGCAGGTGTCCTTTTGTGTCCCCGAACTCTGAGGGCGTGAGAAAGACTTAGGGGCAGTCTAGAACTTCAGAGGTACAAGCTCACTGTCGCTGTTGGGGGATCTCATCAAAGGTGGTTTCTGTCAGGTGCACGTAGAGGCTCAGCGTGCCCCGGGGCCGGTGACGGCAGCTCTGGCCTGCGGGCGAGGGGCTGGCCGATGCTGCATCTCACGGGCGTGTTCTGTTTTGTGCGTGTGTTCAGGCAAGCAGCAGTTCCTCCTGAGGCGCAGACGGCACAGAGTCCAGCGGACGAACACGAGGGCACAGGTACGGGGACGGGTGACAGGGGAACAGGCACTTCCAAGCCAAACGTACTGTAAACATCCCGTCACCTACATCACCTACTGATTCTTCTAGATTTAAAAAAAGAAATCTAAGCCCCAAAGAAGCTAAGTGATTGGCAGTTGTAGGCTGAAATCGGAGCATGTGCCTCGTGGCCCCGTGCTCGTCACTGCGTCCCCTGGGGCATCCGTCAGGCAAAGGGCACGAGGCTGACCTTTCCATAGACTCTGCTCGGCTTGCTTTCCTAGCCGGACGGTCCAAACAGCCGGTGGTACCCGACTGCGTTCGCCCCTTCCTGTCACCGAAGAAAACCCAGAGGTATTTTATCATGTGAGACAGACAGATTCTGGTCACGACACCAGGTCCCTCTCCATGGCCCTGTCTGTCTGTCGTGGCGTGTGTGGTCACATCAGATTAGAGAGCTCTGGTACCGGGCTTTGCCCGTTTATATCAAGGGGTTTGTCTTCTCAAGAGAACCAGGTTGGGAAAATGCTGAGACCCGAGGTCGGGCTGTGACCACGTGCCGCTGACGCGCTGGGTCCTCGAGAAGACCGGCCGTGTGTTTGTGCGAGAGGATGTGGGCCCTGGTGTGGGCTCCGGACCAGAGCCGTGGAGAGACCCTGCTTTGCTTAGCAGCTGTGTGACCTGGGGCCACCAGGCTGCTCGCCTAACCTCGCCAGCGCAGATTCCTCACCTTCAGACTGTCGGGAACAACACCCACCTCGCTGGACGGGGGCGAGGTTATGAGTTCGTGTCTAGGGAGCTCCCAGAAGACTGCCTAGTGCATGTGGTCATACACGTTAACATCGCTCTTTCTTGTTGCTGTTAATCCTCACCTGAGGACGCTCTTCCATTGATTCTTCAGATAGAGTGGAAGGGGGGAGGGGGAGAGAGAAACATCGATGTGAGAGACACCTCGATTAGTTGCCTCCCACACAACCCTGACCAGGGCCGGGGATCAAACCTGCAAACCAGGTACGTGCCCCCAACTGGGAGTCGAACCTGAGACGCTTCGGTCCACGGGCTGATGCTCTAACCACTGAGCAAACCCGGCCAGGGCTACTTTACTGTTTTTCACTTTAATCCTATAGAAGACAGTTACTTATTGAAAAAGCATCAAATTGTTCTACCAGAAACTCTACCGCAAAGACAATATGACTTTCAAACAAAAATTCTAGCTTTACCATTTGTAGCTGTGACCGAGGTGGGAAGCTGTCCGCCTGCCTGAGGCTCAGTTTTCTGGTCCGTGGGTGGGTGTCGCCGGGGTCGCGCGGTCGGTGGGGCCGGCGCGACCTGTCCGCTGTCCTCTGCCCGCAGGGCCCAAGGCTGCCGAAGAAGAGGACAGTGGTTTCAGCTCTCCGCTGATGCTCTGGCTGCAGCAGGAACAGAAGCGGAAGGAGAGCATTACTGAGAAGAAGCCCAAGAAAGGACTTGTTTTTGAAATTTCAAGCGATGATGGCTTTCAGATCTGTGCGGAAAGTATCGAAGGCGAGTAGATGACGTGAGGTGGGCCCCTCAGTCCAGGTCCTGTGCCAGCTGTTATGGAAGATATTTGGATTTCACTTCTCCTTAAGAAGTCAGCGTTCTTGGGAAATAGTCCATAACTCGTGTGAAAAGGCAGTGGAACGGCCTGTCCAAGACCACACGCACCCTAGCATGGCCCCCGAGACCTCGGCTCCCCTCCGCCTCTGCCGTCCTGGGCCCCCGGAACGTGTGCGTCCTGCCCTCTCCCCTCGCCCGCAGGCTTTTCCCTCCTGCGTTCCCCGGACTCATCCTCCGGGCTCAGTGCAGGGTCCTCTGACCCAAGGCCGAGAAGCCGTCCCCGCCCTCCTTCCTGCCCCTTTTTCTTCTTCAGTGTTTCTTTCTCGGAGCTTAAACGTTGTTCTGTGAATGTTTGTTTACTTTTATGTCCTACTCAGCAGAGAACTTCCCATAGGGGCTTGAATTTTAGTTTCTTATTATTTTTGTACCCCAAACATAGGTGTTCGTTAGCTGTTGAAGGACTGGTGGAGATTCTGTAGGAAGTCGGTACCGGAGGAGTGTGAAGGAAGGAGGGTCAGCGAGGGTTACCAAAGAAACACGCAAATGAGCAGAATAGAAGATTCTTTAGAAAGATAATAGAATCTGGGTTATACGGAGGGCTGGGGAGGCTTTCTAAGGCGGGGTGTCAGCAAAGTTAGCGAGACAGGGCGAGGGGGGCCCGGTTCTGGAGCTTGGAATCAGCGCGTAGTGTGGTGGCCTCGTGCAGGACAGTCGGAGACGGTAGACGGCAGGGGAGTGTTGCCGCAGTGAGAGGTCAGGAACAGCCTGTTTCCAGGAGGAAGGAAGGGGCGGCAAGGGCGCACCCGCCGGCTGCTTGGGTGAGAGCAGAGGAGTCGAGGAGGCTGGAGAGTCAGGCCGGGCGGCTGCGGAAAGGTCAGCACCAGTCTGAGCCGTGAAACCCGCAGAACTCCCCTTCTCTGAGCCCGAGGTCCCTGCAGAGGTTCTCTCCCATGGTCTCCCCACAGTCCTGCTCACGTTGTGAACGCTGCTGTTATCCTGTGAGGGCACAGGGAATGGAGTTAAAACGTTCAGGTTTGGGACCCCGATGGCCATCAAGGGTGTGAGTGCGTCAGGGATTCCGAGGTCGCCCTCGGAAGACGTGATCCCCTTACTGCTCCTGTGTCCCTTCTAGAAACGCTGCTGGTAGGCAGCTTCGCTCTCACGCACTGAGCTGGTTAAAGGGACAGACACCGCCCCAGCAGCCTGTCTTCCTGCTGCGTGCGGCTGAGCACGGCGCTCACCACACCCTGTGCTAAGGTGTGTGCTGGAACGTTCTATATCCACAGATGCCTGGAAGTCGCTGACGGACAAAGTCCAAGAAGCCCGATCAAACGCCCGCCTGAAGCAGCTCTCGTTTGCAGGTAACGGCTCGAGGGGCCCTTTTACTCCGGGCTCGGGATGTTCTGGTGGCTTGTTGGTGTTACACAGTTGATTCTACCGAGAAAAATCAACGTTCGTCACAGCTTCACTGCGATACGATTCACACTGTGCAGTTCACCGGCCTTTAGTGCGTCGCGGGTCTGAGCGGCGTCCCCGCTGTGTACCCCGGACACTGTCATGACCGCGGAGAGAGCCTCACACCATTAGCAGGCATCGCTGAGCCCCGGCCCCTGGCAGCCACTAATCCACGTCTGTCTGTGGATGTGCCAGTCGGTGCGTTTCCCATCCGCGGCCTCGGGACCTGCGGCCTCTGGGAACAGCCCCTTCATGGATGCCGTGCTTTGGAGAGTTTGCTGCCGCACTGGGTCAGACCCCATCCTTTGTTCTTAGACACAGGCATCGTGTATAGTTTTGGTGAAACACACAAACTTTACTGTCTTCCCAGGTTCGAGTTTGGTGCACGTGCTTAGTGGCGTTAGACACACTCTGTGCGGCCGTCACCACCCGTAACTCTTCCCGCGTAACTGAAACTCTGTCCCCGATCGCAGAGACCGTACACGTTCTGTCTCTGTCGTGGGACTCGTCCGAGTGCCTCGTGCCGTCGTGCCAGCCTGTCCACTTCGCACGAGGTCCTCGAGGCTTGTTCATTCGTGCTCAGCATGTGGCAGAATGGCCTTGCTTCTAAGGCTGAGTTCCAGCTGGTGTGGGAGCACGTGGGGCGTAGCTGCTCGTCTGCCACCCCCCACCGGCCGCCGTGAACGTGGGTGTGCAGGCAGCTCTGAGGCCTGCTTTCGGGCCTCGGGGGGCTGAGGAGTGGGTTTGCTGGTCGTGGGCTAATTCTGTTTTTACGTTCTGAGGAGCCCTCACGCTGTCCCCAGGGCTGTGCCCAGGGCCTCGGCCTGCCCCCTGGCGCCGGCACTCGTTCTGTTGGGCAGCGGCTGTGCCTGTGGGTGTGAGCTGGCATCTCACAGGTTTTCACTGACACCCCAAATGATTTGCGGTATCAGCATTGTCTCCTGTGCTTGTTGGTCCTTTGATGCTGCTTTGGAGAAGTGTCTGTTCCAGTGCGTTGCCTGGTTTTTAATTGGGTTGTTCTTTTCATTGTCGAGTTTTTGAAGTTCTCTACACAGGGTGGGGCCAAAGTAGGTTTGCGTTGTGAGTATGCCAAACAGTTTGTTCTTATATTGTTATTTATTCATTGTTTTATTTTTCATGCGAACAGCTGTAAGCCTGCGTTTGCACAGCTGTGTATGTTCTGTGTTAACCCCTTACGGGTCTGTGCTTTGCACATAGGTTCTCCCATTCTGTGGGCTGACATTTCGCTCTGGATTCCCCCTTTTTGCAGATTGGTGAGGGAGATACTTTGAGGGCAAAAAAAAACATGGTTCATAGGTCATGCTCTGACCAACTGTGGTTGTCATTGGGTGAACTAAAATTAATTCTGGAGCCCTGATGGGTTTGGCTCAGTGGTTAGAACGTCGGCCTGTGGTCCAGAGAGACCCAGGTTCGGTTCCTGCTGAGGGCACGTACCTCAGTTGCAGTTTGTCTTCAGCCCTGGTTGGGTTGTGCGGAGGCAGCCACTCTTGTGTCCCTTTAACGTCGATGTTTCTCTCTCTCTCTCTTCCTCTCGCTCTGTCTGAACAAAAAATGTCTTCGGGTGAGGATTAAATAAATAAATAAGTAATAAAATTAAATCTGTACATAGTCGTTCTGAACTGGTTATTGATAACATATAAAATTCTGCACCTGGAGGATTTGGCTTGGTATACTCAGCCTCAAGTTAAATAGCCTAGCCTTTTCTTGTTCCAGCGGCAAAAAGATTTCTTTGGTTTATCTAGTCCTTTCCTGCCATGTGCAGTGGTCAGAAACCATGAGCCCTGGGGACAGAGGGAGCCGAGTTCAAGCTCTGCTCCTGCCCCGGTGCTGCTCATGTAAAAGCAGGTGCCGCTGACCAGCTTCTGAGTCTGACCCCTCTCCAAAAAGCCATGATACTACTGTGACCTTCAGTGTTCGTTGTGAGGGTTAAATAATGAACTTGGCGTGATTGTAGGTGTTCATTTATTTGTAGCTATTTATTTGCATTCTAATATAACTAATGTACCCAATTAAGAACATTATCTTGATATAGGGATTTAAGACAGAATTCAGAGAAATTATTGAATGCTAGAGAGGAAGGAAGAGGGAGAGAGATAGAAACATCAGTGAGAGAGAACATAGACTGGCTGCCTCCTGCATGCCCCCCACTGGGGATCGGGCCCACAACCTGGGCATGTGCCCTGACCGGGAATCAAACTGGCAACCTCCCGGTGCAGGGTCGACGCTCATCCCCTGAGCCACACCGGCTGGATGAATACTGGCATTTTTTTATAGTGCCTTTTGATGCACAAAATTTTTTAATTGTCATAAAGTCCAGTTTGTCTGTTTTTTGTTATCTATGCCTTGTAATGTCATAGCCAGTGTTAGGAAGATTTGTCCTGTGTGTTCTTGTGAGAGTTTTATAGTTTCAGGTCTTCCATTTAGGTCTTTGACTCATGTTGAGTTAACTGTAGTATGTGGTGTGAGGTAAGGGTCCGACTTCATTCTTTTGTGTGTGGATGCCGAGTTTTCCTAGCCCCTTGTTGCAAAGGCTGTCGTTTCCCCGTTGGATGGTCTGGCAGCCTTGCCAGAGTCATCTGACCGAGTACGTGGCGGTTTATTGCTGGGCCGTCTGTTCTGTGCCTTTCTGTCTTCATGCCGGAGCCCCACTGCATCGACCCCCTAGCTTTGTGTCAGCTTTGCAATCAAGTGTGCGTCCTCCAGCTTTGTTCTTTTTCGAGACTGTTTTGGCCATTCGGGGTCCCTTGAGATGCCACAGGAATTTCAGGATGGGTTTCTCTGTTTTTGCAAAAAATATCATTGGTATTTTGATAGGGATTGCATTGAATCTGTAGATTACTTTGGCTGCCACTGACATCTTAATATTAAGTCTTCTGATCCATGAACATGGGCTGTGGTTCCATTTTCTTTTCTTTTTTTAATCCTCATCCAAGGATATTTTTACATTTATCTTCAGACAGAGTGGGAGGGAGAGGGAGAGAGAAAAACATTGATGTGAGAGAGACACATCAATTGGTTGCCACCCACATGACCCCACCTGGGCCCGGGGACAAACCGCAACTGAGGTATGTGCCCTTGGCCTGAATTGAACCCAGGACTCTTTGGTCCGCAGGCCAACACTCTAACCGCTGAGCCAAACCAGCCAGGGCTGTTTCCATTTTCTTATGTCTTTTTAAAATTTCTTTCAGCTGTGTTACGTAGTTTTCATTGTACAAGTCTTTCACCTCCTTGATTAAGTTAAATCTTTTTTTTAATCCTCACCTGAGGATATTTTTCTATTTATCCTCAGAGAGGGAGAGGAAGAGAGAGAAACATCAACATGAGAGAGACACATCGACTGGTTGCCTCCTGCTCAACCTAGACCAGGGCCGGGGACGAACAGCAACCGAGGTATGTGCCCTTGGCCGGAATCAAACCTGCAACTCTTTGGTCTGTGGGCCGACGCTCTAACCGCTGAGCCAAACCGGCCAGGGCGATTAAGTTAAATCTTAAGTATTTTTCACTTTGTGATGCTGTTATAAATAGCATTGTTTTTGAAATTTCCTTTTCAGATGGTTTGTTATCCGTATGTAGAAATGCAGCTGATGTTTGTGTGTTGAGTTTATATCCTGCTACTTTACTGACTTTATTTATTCTAATAGTTATTTTATGGAATCTTTAAGGTTTTCAACATATAAGATAATATCAGCAAACAGATAATCTTGCTTCTTCCTTTCTAATTTGGGTACTTTTACCGATTTTTTATCCACTCGCCCCGTGTGGGAGTGAATACGAGGGGTGAAAGCGAGCACCCTGGCCTCGTCCGCGCCCTGGCCTCGTCTGCAGTCTTGGGGGGAGCGCGCTCAGTTTTTTACTGCTGAAGCTGATGTTTGCTGTGGGTTTTCATGTGTGGCCTGTGTTCGTGTTCTTTTCACTGACATTGCCAAGTAATACCCCATTATAGGCTGTACCCCACGTGTTTCACTCATGCGTCGACTGATGGACGTTTGGTTTCCCTACCTCTGCTGTGACGAGCAGCGTTGCCATGAATGTTCATGTACAAGTTTGTGTGGGCACATGGCCACCTCTCCCGGTGTGCACCTGCAACCGCGGTATGGCTGGGTCACGTGGTGACTGTCTGACTTTCTGAGCAACTGCCAAAGTGTTTTCCCAAAGTAGCTGCACCATTTGACATTTTCACCGACAACGTACGGCGGTTCCAGTGTCCACATCCTTGCCGACACTTGTTATTGTCTGTCTTTTTTATTACAGACATCTTAGTGAGTGTGACATGGTTTCTCGTTGTGGTTTTGTTAGACGTTTTTAAAGTTGGAAGTTTCGTCTGGCTGGTGTGGCTCAGTGGTTGAGCATCGACCCTGCACCAAGAGGCTGCGGGTTCGATGCCCGATCTCCATTGGGGGGCATACAGGAGGTGGCCAATCAATGCTCTCCTCTCATCAATGATTCTATCTCTCCTTCTCAGTTCTTCTGTCTCTAAAATCAATAAAGGAGAAAACAGAGAAAAAAAGAAGCAAGTCCTTTTAGAAAGCCTTCTCCAGTCTGCCAGCAGATTTATATAGATGGTTTTGTAAAATAAATGAGTGCTCGTTAATGCACAAGAGGAACGAGCAAAACAGCAGCTGTTGAGGGCGTCCCTGCACCTCCCCCCCCACAGCACCAAAGAGGGCGTCCCTGCACCTCCCCCCACAGCACCAAAGAGGGCGTCCCTGCACCTCCCCCCACAGCACCAAAGAGGGCGTCCCTGCACCTCCCCCCACAGCACCAAAGAGGGTGTCCCTGCACCTCCCCCCCCACAGCACCAAAGAGGGCGTCCCTGCACCTCCCCTCCCACAGCACCAAAGAGGGCGTCCCTGCACCTCCCCCCCACAGCACCAAAGAGCTCGTCCCTGCACCTCCCCCCCACAGCACCAAAGAGCATCCCTGCACCCCCCCCCACAGCACCAAAGAGGGCGTCCCTGCACCTCCCCTCCCACAGCACCAAAGAGGGCGTCCCTGCACCTCCCCCCCCACAGCACCAAAGAGGGCGTCCCTGCACCTCCCCCCCACAGCACCAAAGAGCTCGTCCCTGCACCTCCCCTCCGACAGCACCAAAAAGGCTCTGTGTTAGAGGGGTGCTCACATTACTTGTAAACTTTGGTGAGGTGCCCGTGTGGTGTGAGCTTGCAGACTCAGGTACCCCATTACCTGTGAAAAGGGGGAGCGCAGTTGAGTAACACAGTCTGAGATTCGGATTTGTCACACCAGCTTTGTGACCTCGAGTGTGAGATTTACGTTCTCTGAGCCCAGGTATACTTACCTGAGATGAAGCCTGTAACTCCTGTCCGCATGGTCACTGGGACCATAAAACGAAATAACACCTGTGACGTTTCTGTTCCATACAGAACATAGAAAATAGTCCCTAGTTTGGTAGCTTGCAGTTTTCACTTTACCACGTTTGTTTTCCATATTGGTAGATCTGTATCTGCATCATTTGATGAAAACGTGTTTTTGTTGCTTTTAGATAGAGAGAGGGAGAGACATCAGTAACTGCCTCCTGCACAGCCCCTCCTGGGATCGAGCCTGGCCCCCCGCTGCGTGGGCGATGCTCCAGCAGCTGAGCACCCTGGCCAGGGCGGCGCCGCATCACCGGAGTGCTGTCTGATGCGCGCCTGGCTGGTCTTCGCTCGTCAGCACCCGCAGTTCCTCCTGGCTGCGCTCCTCACGACCCGCCTTTGTCCTGCAGGTGTCAATGGGCTGAGGATGCTGGGGATTCTCCATGACGCGGTCGTGTTCCTGATTGAGCAGCTCTCGGGCGCCAAGCACTGCAGGAATTACAAATTCCGTTTTCACAAGCCAGAGGAGGCCAATGAACCGCCCCTGAACCCTCATGGCTCAGCCAGGGCTGAGGTCCACCTGAGGCAAGTGCCGTTCTTTCTGTATCCGGGCTGAGGTCCCCGTTTGTTACCTGATGATGTCGTCGTTCCCCGTGCGCGTCTGAGAGTTCCCGTGTGTGCTGGCCTTCGTGCTCACTGAGCCACTGCCCTAAACATACTCTCGTCCTCGGCTCCAGGAAGTCGGCGTTCGACATGTTTAATTTCCTGGCTTCCAAACATCGGCAGCCTCCTGAATACAACCCCCACGATGAGGAGGAGGAGGAAGTACAGCTGAAGTCGGCTCGGTGAGTCCCGAGTGGGCTGGGGTCATCCAGAGATGCTCTGCTCCAGCTCAGCCCTAGGGCGCGTCCGGCTCCACGCAGGTCCCGTCCTGGTCCCGTCCGAGGAGGCTGGTGCGGTTTGTGCTGGCGTAACGCGGGCTGGAGCAGGAGGAGGCTGTGGCAGAGGAGAGATTCCCAAACTAGACGATGTGTGTTTTCTTCTCTTTGACCGCAGTGTGCTCTGTCAGCTGCGCTGTGCCCCTGGGCCATGGTGGTCAAGTCCTGTGTGTGCTAAAATAGGCCTACTAGTGTAAGGTGCTTGCTGTGCTTGGCATTGAACAGAGGGAATCGTGCTGTCATATCCTCTAGGGGACTTCGGTCTAAGACTCAGAGCTGACTGGCTCCTGAACAGAGTCCACTAATTTCGTGCCTGTCTCTTCAGGAGGGCAACTAGTATGGACCTGCCAATGCCCATGCGTTTCCGGCATCTGAAGAAGACTTCCAAGGAGGCGGTCGGTGTCTACAGGTATGGCTGAGGTTCCAGAGGGAATTGTGGGAAGCTGAGGTTCTCCAGAGTCACCGTGGCCCCTGGGCTGCAGTGCCCTCCCCCAGGCCGTCCGTGCAGTCGTGTAGACAGTGTGCATTGAACCGGTGTCCTGGTCCTGCAGTGCCCGCAGCATGAGCTTCACCAGTACAGTGTTACAGTGTAGCTGCTCCCTGGGCCCTGCAGTTCCCGCAGCATCCTGTGTTACCAGTACAGTGTTACAGTGTAGCTGCTCCCCGGGCCCTGCAGTTCCCGCAGCATCCTGTGTTACCAGTACAGTGTTACAGTGTAGCTGCTTCCCGGGCCCTGCAGTTCCCGCAGCATCCTGTGTTACCAGTACAGTGTTACAGTGTAGCTGCTCCCTGGGCCCTGCAGTTCCCGCAGCATCCTGTGTTACCAGTACAGTGTTACAGTGTAGCTGCTTCCAGGGCCCTGCAGTTCCCGCAGCATCCTGTGTTACCAGTACAGTGTTACAGTGTAGCTGCTTCCAGGGCCCTGCAGTTCCTGCAGCGTGTGTTACCAGTACAGTGTTACAGTGTAGCTGCTTCCTGGGCCCTGCAGTTCCCGCAGCATCCTGTGTTACCAGTACAGTGTTACAGTGTAGCTGCTTCCAGGGCCCTGCAGTTCCTGCAGCGTGTGTTACCAGTACAGTGTTACAGTGTAGCTGCTTCCCGGGCCCTGCAGTTCCCGCAGCATCGTGTGTTACCAGTACAGTGTTACAGTGTAGCTGCTTCCAGTGGGCTACAAACGAGGAATTTTTCCCCCCAATTTTTATTAATTTATTTTTGTTATAGATGTTTTCCTTTTTTCCCTCTGGAAACCCTCCGCCCCATCCCCCCCCAACATTGTTGTCTATGTCCATGGTTATGTATACATGCATATAAGTTCTATGGTTCATCTCATCCATCCTCCCCACCCCCCTCCTCTGTCAGTCTGAACCATACTTCTCTCTATGTCTCTGGGTCTATTTTGTGCATCAGCCCACCTTGCTCATTATGTTCCACAAATAAGTGAGATTATGTGGTATTTGTCTTTCCCTGACTGGCTTAATTCGCTTAGCATAACGCTCTTCAGGTCCCTCCATGTCGTCTCAAAGGATAAGAGATGTTTCTTTCTTACAGCTGCATAGTACTCCACTGTGTACATGTACCACAGCTTTTTATCCACTTATCTACTGACAGACGACACTTGGGCTGTTTCCAGATCTTAGCGATTGTAAATAGTGCTGCTAAAACTGGAGGAATTTTTAATCCTTGTGCATTTGTTTGAAGAATTGATATACTCAAATCAGCTGGATCCAGATTCTTTCTTCTTTGTTTTACAAGTGTCTACCCCTCTTGGGGGACTAACAGACATGGGGATTTTATTCATTTATTATGTGTTCACACAGTTAACGTTATTGCAAAATGTGTGGCTGTTCTCTCGTCCATCTTCATGCCCTAGATCTCCCATCCACGGCCGGGGGCTTTTCTGTAAGAGGAACATTGACGCAGGGGAGATGGTGATCGAGTATGCCGGCAACGTCATCCGCTCCATCCAGACTGACAAGAGGGAGAAGTACTATGACAGCAAGGTGGGCCCCCGCCGTCGCTCTCCCATCCTGTTGTTTCATCGGAGGAGTGGCCGCCAACTAGAAATATCCCTAGATGAAAGAATAAAGAGTACACAGCCCTGGCCGATTTGGCTCAGCGGTTAGGGTGTCAGCCCGTAGACCAAAGAGTCTCGGGTTCGATTCCAGTCAAGGGCACGTACCTCGGTTGCAGTTCAGTCCCCAGCCCTGGTCCAGGTTGTGCGGGACGCAACCAGTTGATGTGTCTCTCACATCAATGTTTCTCTCCCCCCACCCCCACCCCCTTCCTCTTTTTCTAAAAATCCATTTTTTAAACATAGTATTTTATTGCTTCAAAGGCACTTTGTTTTAAACATTTTAACATCCTGTGGAATTTGTGGTGGGCCCAGTAGAAGTTCATAATCCACTCTAAGGGTTAGTATACAAAAGACTCTGAAAGTTTGTCTGCATAGATCTTGGCATCAGAAGCACATTAGCAACACAATTGTCAGGTTTCTTTCCTGCAGAGACGTTAGGAAACCAGTAGGCTACCCTGGCCGGGTGGCTTAGATGATTGGAGCGTCCAACGCACCAGAACATTGCAGGTTTTATCCCGGTTGGTCTGGGCATATGTGGGAGGCAACTGATCAATGTTTCTCTCTCTCTCTCTTTCTCTTTCTTCCCTCCCTTCCTTTCTCTCTAAAATCAATAAAAACATATCCTCGGGTGAACATTTTAAAAAAGAAAAATTAGCCCTGGCCGGTTTGGCTCAGCGGTTAGAGCGTCGGCCTGCGGTCCAGAGAGACCCAGGTTCAGCTCCCGCTAAGGGCATGTGCCTCGGTTGCAGTTCGTCTCCGGCCCTGGTTGGTTGTGTGGGTGGCAGCCACTCGATGTGTCCCTTCACGTCGATGTTTCTTTCTCTCCCTCTTACTCTCTCTCCCTCCCACTCTGTCTGAACAAAAAATGGGGAAATGTCCTCGGGTGAGGATGAGAAAGAAAAAGAAAAATTAAAAAAGGGAACCAGTAGTTCTAGTACCTATAATCTAGGAATTCATTGTGGAAGCGTCTTGAGAGTTGGGAGAAATCTGGAGATCTGACTAGAAGAATTCCCATTAGCAGCTGTAAGTCCCATGAGGAGAAGGTTGGGAAAGGCCCTCAAGCCTGAGCCGCGGTCAGTAACGGCCCCTCCGTTCTCCGCCGCGCAGGGCATCGGCTGCTACATGTTCCGCATCGATGACTCGGAGGTGGTGGACGCCACCATGCACGGGAACGCAGCCCGCTTCATCAACCACTCCTGCGAACCCAACTGCTACTCGCGCGTCATCAACATCGAGGGGCAGAAGCACATCGTCATCTTCGCCATGCGCAAGATCTACCGCGGGGAGGAGCTCACCTACGACTACAAGTTCCCCATCGAGGACGCGCGCAACAAGCTGCCCTGCACCTGCGGCGCCAAGAAGTGCCGCAAGTTCCTCAACTGAGGCTGCTGCCGGCACCCACGCGGCACCGAAGCCTTGCGGCGCAGTTCAGGATGGGGCACCCCTGTGTCCCTAGTCCCTGTGTGATCACAGTCCCGGGGAGAAGAGGTCTCGGAGGAAAGACCCGCTCTGCCTTCTGCGCGGGGCATCACAAAGGGGGAAGGGTCCCTGTGGACTTGCCTGGAAGGAGCAATGGGTTAGTTACATGGGGGGGTTGCCATCCTCGCCTGACCCCTCCCCCGCACAGTCAGCAAGGGTCAGGCAGAGCCCGAATTCGGGGTGGTGGGGAGACCCAGCGGTTTGCCAGTGGGCCCGGCCTGGGGCCATCTGTTGAACAACAGACGGTCTAGTGGTTTTCTCTCCCACTCCCCTCCCCCACCTGAGAATTCACTCTGGTGGGAAAGCAGGGTTCTGAGCACCTTGGTGTGAAAGGCTGCCTGGGGCTGTGGCAGTCACTCAGCAAACAGCAGCCTGTGGCTGTCAGCAGCCTTGTCTCAGCCAGTCCCCTGGACAGCCAGCGGAGCGGCTCCTCCCTTCTCCTCGCTCCTGTTCCCGTCCTTCCCCCACTGCGTTCCGCTCGTCCTGGGTGGTGGGAGCCAGTGACTCCCTGCTCGGGACTGTCCCTGTTGGCAGGTGTGTGCCCACGACCCCGTCCCTGAGCCTGTGAGCCCTCCCAGCGGGAAGTGGACAGGCGCCATCGGCCATGACCAGACAGTTAGGGATTTCCTTAAAGCTCGCTGAGGGCCTTGAAGAAGTAGGTGTGGCCTGGTGTGGACGAGGAAGCGATTATTGAAACGTTGGATCATGCCACAGCCAGAGTATCGTGACCAGGGTGACCTGGGCCCCTCCCAGGACATGTCACTTCATTTTCCCGTCGCTAAGACATAGGAAGACTTAATGTTTAAATGGTCAGTGTCCAGTCGAAGGCACAACACTAATCAGATTTCAAGGCCCAAAACTTGGGGGCTGGAGCGCCCGGCACTGAGGATTCTGCCACCTGCGCAGACGCACGGACAGAGCGATGAGACCTGCTGCCCGAGGGCCCAGGCGTGGTCGCAGCATCACACGTCCCGACAGTGTCCTGAACCCATTAAATTAAGTCATCGGATGTTACTCTGTTCTGTTTACAGTTTACTATTTAAGGTTTTATAAATGTAAATATATTTTGTATATTTTTCTATGAGAAGCACTTCGTAGGGACAAGCACTTATGACAAGGCTATTTTTTAAACCGCGGTATTATCCTAATTTAAAAGAAGATCGGTTTTAAATAATTTTTTATTTTCATAGGATGAAGGTAAAGAAAATATTCAGCTGTACACGCAAAGTCTGGTTTTTCCTGCCAACTTCCCCGGGAGGTGCACTTCCCGTAGCTCCATGTGTTTGTGCCCTGTTGACGTAGCAGTTCTGGGTTTGCTCTTTGACAATAAATGGAAAGGAAGGTCACCCACTCCACTGGGCCACTCCTCTTCTTTCCCGCACTGCGTCCTCCCGGCCCGCTCAGCGAGGGGCAGCGGGGCCCTCGCCCACAGCGCCCACGCCCGAGTTAGCGCCAGGGGGGCCCGGACATTCCCGTCGCGTCTGCCTCCCAGACCACCTCGGCCCTTCCCCTCTGCCCGTGAGTCCTCATCCTCCTCACCCGCCAGGCGCCTACAGGTCCGGCCCTGTGGGGCAGCCGCTGAAACCGAAGCACAGTTGGCCCCCGCGGACAAGCAGGCCGTGGAGGCCCGGGAGGCCCGGAGGCGGTGACCCGGGCCCCAGGTGGCGACCTCGGCCCCAGGAGCCCTGCCTCGGGAAGTCCGGCAAAGCAATACGCCCGGCCCAGCGCCCTCTGTTCAGGACTGTTCCCGGCTCTGCTGCTGTGCCTTCCGCCCCGGGCTCCTGCTCTTCTGTGACTTCAGGACTCTGTCTGGTGGCTCTGCTGGGACAGCGTCACTGTTCCCACTGCCGCGCAGGGAGCCCGGCACTGTGGCCAGGATGGCAGACAAGTGCCAGCAGGGGAAGCATGCAGACCTCACCTCCCTCCCCGCCCCTTTCCTTTGTTATTGCACTGTGTGAGGTTTGTTTATAAATCCTTGAGTTCCTTTTTTTTTTTTTTTTTTTTTTTAAGAAAAAACCTTAAGCTGCATTTGTTACTGAAATGATTAATGCACTGACGGGTCATGAATTCACCTTGAGAAAGACCCAAAGGCCAGTCTGGGGGTGGGGAAACAGCTAACCTAGTTCCTGCCCTGCTAGGCCCTGCTGTACTGTGAGCCCTCATTCTCTGTCCATCCCACACCCCGAGGCCGGGGAGAGCCACGCCTCTCCTGCCCGCTGCAGGGGGTCTGCCTTGCCTCTCTCTCCTCATGACCACAGAAACGAGAAAACCCCTCACGGCTCAGCCTCGAGTTCATTGCCAAACTCCAGCACACCTGCCAGCAACTTGGGGCCTGAGCGAAGGCAGACGCTGGGGCTGCTGCCTTCAAAACGCCTCTGAGCTTGATTTGAAAGTGAGCTAAGGAATCTGCACAAGAGGGCACGCCGAGGAACTGTGGTGGGCCATCCCTAAGACACCCCAAGGGGCACCCAGATTCCTGCGGAGTCCTGGGCTCAGACCTGGTCAGTTCTCAGTGAGAGAGCCAGCTCCCTACAGCTTTGCTGCTAGAACCTGTTGTGGCTGCATTTCCCAGTGGCCAGTGACAGCTGTGTGAGCAGAAGAGCTGCATGGCGCTGACCCTTTGGCCTGTCACTGTCCACCACCTCCAGCACAACCCCTCCCGTTTCTAGACCAATCGTGAGCTAAGGGGGGACCCTGGCAGCTATGTCCTCGACCAGACCCCTTTGCCTGGATCCAGTCTTCCCTCCGCTTGCCTGTCAGCCCCCGGCCAATGCAGTGAGCACCATGCAGCTCCCTTGATTTCCAAAAAACAGAATCAAAAATAAAAAAACCTTTTAATGAATGTATCTTTCTAAAGGACTGAGGTTCAATCAAATATCCGAAAATACTAAAGGTCAAAACCTTGTCAGATGATAACTTTTAAGTTGGATTTGGGATATTTTAACTAGAAATCAATGTTTCTTTTTTTAAGGAAAAGCGGGTCATTGCAAAGGGCTGGGTGTAATTGTGTTTCATTTCCTTCATTTTAAAGCAATACAAGGTTACCGAGCAGATGGTTTTATGCTGAGTCATGAATACCAGTCAAGTTTCACACTCGGAAAACTCGCAACTCCTATGTTTTGGTTTTCAACTAAGTATAAATATGATATATATAGGAACTAATATAGTAATGCACCATGTAACAGCCTAGTTCAGTCCATGGCTTTTAATTCTCTTAACACTATAGATAAGGATTGTGTTACAGTTGCCAGTGTTGGCAGGAAAATGTCAGTCTGGCCCTTCTCTGATCCTGCGATCCGGGGCGAAACCCAAACCCCCAAACCGCAAAGGGATGGCAGACAGCCCCTTCCCGGGATCAGAAAGATGCAGAGATGGTGTCACCTGGGTGGTTTCTGCCAGTGAGTGTTGCCGGGCAGTACCTGTGCTCCTTGTTCTATTTTCGGTTATGAATGTTGGGGTTACCACCTGCATTTAGGGGAAATTGTGTTCTGTGCTTTCCTGGTATCTTGTTCCGAGGTACTCTAGTTCTGTCTTTCAACCAAGAAAATAGACTTGTGGTGTTTCTTTTATTGAACTTTTAACAGTCTCTTTAGTAAATACAGGTAGTTGAATAATTGTTTCAAAAGCTCAACAGATGACAAGCTTTTCTAGAAATAAGACATTTCTTGACAACTTTATCATGTATAACAGATCTTTTGTTTTTTGTTTTTTTCTTCTTCCTTGTGTTCTTCCAAGCTTCTGGTTAGAGAAAAAGAGAAAAAAAAAAAGGAAAAAAATGTGTCTAAAGCCCATCAGTGTTAACTCCCTGTGACAGGGAAGAAGGAAAATAACTTTAATAGTTCAAAAATAATAATGCTGAAAGCGCTCTGCGAAAGACTGAATGTAAAAGTAAAAAGTGTACATAGTTGTAAAAAAAAAAAGGAGTTTTTAAACATGTTTATTTTCTATGCACTTTTTTTTATTTAAGTGATAGTTTAATTAATAAACATGTCAAGTTTATTGCTGCACCTGTGGAGATTTCTTTTGGCTTTGGCTGGGGCGGAGAACTGGGGGAGGGGTGGAGAACGGGGGGAGGGGCACAGCACCTTAAACGCCCTTTCTTTTAAGGTGGAATCGTTCAATCATTCCTCCTGCCTTCCACACTGGCTCTCAGCAGTATTTTCTTTCCTTATCAATGATGTACACTCAGGACCTCGTCCTGCGTTTGAAGAAGGGCTCAAGACAGCAGAAATCATCCCTTGACCGCCACATGCGCCTCCTTTATCCGTGGGGGACCAACCACTGGCTCCTAGTGAGTTCCTCCCATCTGAATACAAGAAAGCTTTTAGTGTTTGGTTAACCCTCACCTAAGGATATTCTATCCATTGCTGTTTAGAGAGAGTGGAAGGAAGCTGGGGGAGAGGAAAAAAGACCTCAGTTGGTTGCCGCCAAGCCCGGACCTCGACCCCCTGGTGGTGGGCTGACACTCTAACAACAGCCAGGTCCGACCCCCTGGTGGTGGGCTGACACTCTAACAACAGCCAGGCCCCGGCTGAACGCACAAGCGTTTCAGGGGGGACCTGGACAGCGCCGGCTCTTTGCTCCGCTCCACCTTAAGGCTGAGGTCTGACTTATTTACTGTTTCTCCTAGGACTGGGGTGCCGGTGGGGAGGCGGTTGAGAAATCCCTGTAGATGTTCTGCCAAGCCAGGGTCACAACCCATGGCCAAAGGAGGCCCAAGGTCCAAGTTTGCACTCCAACCAAAAGAATGAGAGACGCCCCTCTTCATGGGGGATGGTTCTCAAACAACCTCCCTGGAATGATCAACAGCTGCAAAGCTCAGCCCCCACCCACTGCTTCTTCCTCCCGCTCTCAGCCTCGGTCCCCTTTTTGGACTTTCCCGGTTCAGCACCATGGGGACTCTAAACGACCAGGCAGTGTTACAAGCCATCTTCAACCCTGACACCCCATTTGGAAACGTCGTTGGGTTGGACCTGGGAGAGGAAGCTGAAGATGAAGAAGTAGATGAAGGTGAGTATTTAACCTGAGAAGAGAGCTCTCCACATCGGCTGAGCTGCCCCGCCTTCCCGGGGAGGTGGTCTGACAGCGCCCCTTGTTGGCCCCCCACCCACCGGCGGGATGGAGAGTGAGGTCAAGGTTGGCTGATCCTCAGCGCACTGATGCAGGCTTGGAGAGTCACTGGAGAGGAGAGGGCTGGGGTTTGCCGTCCTTCAGCGCTCACACCTCTGAACTGACTTCGGCCCTTAGTGCTCCCCAGGATCCAAGCCTAACTGTGTTGGGGGGTAGGAGGATGACATGAAACTCTCACATCATTGTCCTAACAGAGTACATCACCCCACAAAGAACGGGCAGAGCCCCGGCGGGGCAGGGCCCGGCGAAGGGCTCCAACCTCAGCAAGCCCTCGGGGTCACATACCGGCCAAGCGCCCAGCCGAGCCTCCCACAGCGTGTGCTTGGCTTTTCCATCGGTCCCCGTGGAGACCGGTTCTCCACCAGGAGTTTTTGATGTCCTTCGTTTCTAAGGGGGCGGAAACGCCCAGGGCTACATGGGAGGGCTGTTCATGACCTGGGTTTGTCATGGTGGCCTCTGTGTCGGAGGCAGCATGGAACCCCATGGGGACGGGCTAAGGGCGTCTGACTCCTGGGACCCACCCCCCAGCCCGGAAAGTTCTGGCTCAGGCTCCCAAAGCCTGGGGTGGCTTTTGCTTCTCGCCCCCGATCGCACACCTGTGCTCCCTGCGCCCTCCCTCCGGCCCAGGTGGAACTTTCCCTCAAGCCCAGCTGGAGCAGTGCAAGGCCCTGGAGCTGCAGGGGGTGAGAGCGGCTGAGGCTGGTAACCTGGGCACCGCCCTGGAGAGGCTCGGCCGGGCCATCCAGCTGCTGCCAGAGAGGGCTTCGGCCTACAACAACCGAGCCCAGGCCCGGCGGCTCCAGGGAGACGTGGCAGGTGAGGGGAGGTGACCTGGGGCCCCTGCAGAGATGAAGTGGTTGTGGGGCTGCGGTGTGGGGGTGAGGAGTCGTTAACTCTCCCTGGAATCTGTTCTTACCTTTAAGAGATACACTGTGGGCCCTGCTAATCTCTTGGGGGCTATTGTGGAAGTCAGAATAGACTGCATTTCATTTATTTATTTAACATTTAATGAGACTCTGCTATGGTAATAGTGGGCCAGGAGCTGAGGACACAAAGATTAAAGATGCAGCAACTCCTATGTGCCAGCTAATTTAACCCTCACAGCACCCCCGAAGGCATGTGCTGCTGTTATCCCCAGTTCACAGATGAAGCATGGGGGTTGGGCAGCCTGCTCCTCGTGCAGTTGAGCTGCGGCAGAGCTGGGATGCGAACCAGGTGTCAGGACTCCGGAGTGATAGCTGGCAGTCTGGGGGATAGGACAGACGTCATCAGGATCCCACCGTAACAGGTGGGAAGGGATCTGCTTCTGAAGGGTGGGTTTTGGAGGAGGAGGAGTTAGCTGGGTGGAGGGAGGAAGGAGAAGGCACAGACCAGAGGTCCACAAGGCACGGAAGGAAGGTATAGGAACTTCGGATCTCCAGGCTGGTAGAAGGACCCGGTAGGGCCTGGAGATAAACAGGAATCACCGGAGGGTTTTAACTGGGCAGTGACTGGATCAAACCTGCGGCATTCAGGTAGCTCCAGCTGGAGTGGGGACGGCGGGGCAGAGGGGCCTCGCTAGGAACTGGAGAGCAGTGGTGTAAACCACAGAGGTCTAGCGACTGCTAAGAGTCTTGGTGGGGAACATGCTTCTGGGACCAGCAAAGCCAGGCTGGGGAGTTGAAGGCTTTTCCAGGCTTGTCTGCCACCTGGCTCTGGCCGGGCCGGGCCAGGCCGTAAGGGTCCTGGAGACAGACTGCAGACCAAAACCCCAGAAGGGATGGGGCAGTTCCCCTGGAGGTGGCTTTCCAGTCCTCCAGAGCAGCTCCTCGCGGGACACCAAGAGCTGCTGTCCCCCGCGAGCCTCTCAGAGGTCCCGGTACAGGTCGGTGGGAGCAGAGCCCTTGTTAGATTCCAGGGATCAAAACAGAGACAGAAGGCAGCTCAGCCTTGCTCTAGGGTGACAAGCTCCCCGGCCACCCTGGAGGCTCTTTAGACGACGGAGAACAAGAGTGAAATGAAAAAACATAGAAAAAATGCAGCACAGTGGCCCCCACAGCAGATACCGGCAGGCTTCGGGGGGCTGACTTCAGATGTCTAAACCCTCATTTTACAGGGACAATAACAATAAAAATGGGGCGGGCCAGCTCTCGCCCCAAGACCTGCAAAAAAAAAAAATCAGATACAAAATGATGAAGATTATGGACATAGAGAATGAGGAGAGGTGGTCAGTGGAGAACACAGGTGACCGGAACTGATTTAAAAACCACGAAGGAGCCTGGCCTGGTGGCTCCGTGGATGGAGCACCCCCCCCCCCCCCAGCTCCGGAATGCCCGGGTCCCGCTCAATCCTGGTAGGGGGCGTGCAGGAGGCAGCTGATGGCACATTGATGTTTTTTCCTCTGTCCCTCTCCCTAAATTTCTATTTTTTTATTTTTTTATTTTTTTTTATCCTCGCCGGAGGACACTTTTCCATTTTTTTTTGTTCAGGTAGAGTGGGAGGGAGAGAGAGGAACAGAGAGAGAGAGAGAGAAACATCGATGCGAAAGGAACACATCGAGTGGCTGCCACCCGCACAACCAACCAGGGCCGGGGACAAACTGCAACCGAGGTACATGCCCTTAGCAGGAACCGAACCCGGGTCTCTCAGGACCGCAGGCCGACGCTTTAACCGCTGAACCAAACCGGCCAGGGCTAAATTTCTATATTTAAAAAAAAAAAAAGGCACTAAGGAAGGAGAACCCTTCCTCACTTTAAAAAAAAAAAAAAATCACACAATGGAAAAGAGAGAAAAGTCTTCCAAATGGGAAGTCAGAGAAATGGACCTGACTGTATTTGTAAGAAACAGTCGTCAGTACGTATAATTATTTGGGGCGCTGGGATCGGTCACCTGGCACGGGACAGAGGGGTAACAGCGCACGAGCGGGATGAGTTGCCCGCTACGAGCCAGCAAGGGGCCGGGACCCTGAACAGGGACTCTGCCCCCGGCAACTCCCAGGCCCGGTGGGACGGCGGGGCCCTGGCGCCGGGCTGTGCGGCCTTGCGCCCCGGCCTTCGGGGGGCGGGGCAGCAGGGCGCGGGGGTCCGCTGAGCCCCGCCTGAGCCGGCCTGCCGTCCGCAGGGGCGCTGGAGGACCTGGAGCGCGCCGTGGCGCTGAGCGGCGGCCGGGGCCGCGTGGCCCGCCAGGCCTTCGTGCAGCGCGGGCTGCTGGCGCGGCTGCAGGGCCGGGACGACGACGCCCGCGGAGACTTCGAGCGGGCGGCGCGGCTGGGCAGCCCGTTCGCGCGGCGCCAGCTGGTGCTGCTGAACCCGTACGCCGCGCTGTGCAACCGCATGCTGGCCGGGGTGCTGGGGCAGCTGCGCCGCCCTCGCGACGGGTGCTGAGCGCCCGCCCAGGGGCGCCTGGGCCCCGAAGCAATAAAGCTGCGCTCGCCCGACTCCCGCCTCTTTCTGCGCCGCTGGGGTCCGGGCCGGGGAGCGGGAGGCGGCTGAGCTTCAGGGACCGGCGGGCGGGCGGGCAGGTGCCTCGGAGCCCCCGGGAGGACCGGCGGGCGGGCGGGCAGGTGCCTCGGAGCCCCCGGGAGGACCGACGGGCGGGCAGGAGCCCCGGAGCCCCCGGGAGGACCGGCGGGCGGGCGGGCAGGAGCCCCGGAGCCCCCGGGAGGACTGGCGGGCGGGCAGGAGCCTCGGAGCCTCGGAGCCCCCGGGAGGACCGACGGGCGGGCAGGAGCCCCGGAGCCTCGGAGCCCCCGGGAGGACCGACGGGCGGGCAGGAGCCCCGGAGCCTCGGAGCCCCCGGGAGGACCGACGGGCGGGCAGGAGCCCCGGAGCCTCGGAGCCCCCGGGAGGACCGACGGGCGGGCAGGAGCCTCGGAGCCTCGGAGCCCCCGGGAGGACCGACGGGCGGGCAGGAGCCTCGGAGCCTCGGAGCCCCCGGGAGGACCGACGGGCGGGCAGGAGCCCCGGAGCCCCCGGGAGGACCGGCGGGCGGGCAGGAGCCTCGGACCCCCCGGGAGGACCGGCGGGTGGGCGGGCAGGAGCCCCGGAGCCCCCGGGAGGACCGGCGGGCGGGCAGGAGCCCCGGAGCCCCCGGGAGGACAGCGCAGGCAGGTGTCGCGGAGCCTCGGAGCCGGCGGGAGGACCGCATTGGCCCAGGGGTGGCACCGCCCTGCAGCCTGCGCGCGTCACTGTCACTCCCGCGGTGCGCTGGGCTGCGCTCGGGCAGACGGCGAGGTGAGCGCCGGGAGGCGGCCTGGGGGTCCCTGGCGCCCCAGTCCGCAGGATCCCCTCCCCTCAGCCCGCCTCCGCCACCGGAAGGATGGGAAAGGGGGCTACGACCAGAGGTGGGGGTGGGGCGAGAGCGAGCGCCGGGCGGCCCTGGGGGAGGGGCGCGTGTCCGAGCGCCTGCGTGGGCGCCTGGGCCGCTGCGGGGCTGGGGCCCTTTGGCCCTCGCAGCGGCGAGTCGGTTCGGGCCCCAGGCCTTGCGTCCTTGCTTTCACCTTGTGGGCGGATGCTGCGTCCGCGCATGTTTATTTTTGCTCCTGGAGAGTTCCTACCTGGAGGAATTACTCAATTGGCCTCATCTCCCCTGGCTAAGGTCGGGGCCGCCCCCTCCTCTTGGCAGCCAGGCCGGGGCCGCCATGGCGCTGCCCCCGGGCCCAGCTACCCTCCCGCACCTACTGCTGCTCCTGCCAGCCCTTCTGAGCTCAGGTACCCCCTCTTCAGGCCTCGCTCGGCACTTCTGGGGTCCTGTCTTCTCTCCCCTCCCTGCCTGCTCCTCGGTTTGGGGACCCCTTCAGTCCCTGGGCACAGAGCTGCGTTTGCCCTGACCCACCCACCCAGGATGCGGCCAGTCCCCGGTGAGAGAACCCGGTGCAGAGCCGGCCAGCCCTGCCCAGAACGCCCTGTCGTGTTCCAGGTCGGGGGGAGTTGGCACCACAAATCGATGGCCAGGCCTGGGCTGAGCTGGCACTTCGGGAGAATGAACGCCGCCCCTTCACCTGCCACGTGGCCAGGGGGTCTGGCACCCCCCGACTGGCCTGGTACCTGGATGGACAGCTGCAGCAGGCCGGCACCTCGAGACTGGTGCGTGTGGGCGGGGAGGCCTTCGCTGGGGGCACCTTCACTGTCACTGCCCAGCGGTCCCAGCGTGAGCTCAACTGCTCCCTGCAGGACCGGCGCAGTGGCCAGGCAGCCAATGCCTCTGTCATCCTCAATGTGCAATGTGAGTGTCCCTGAGGTGGGCAGGGAGAGGGGTGCTCTGCCCAGGGACCCCCAGCAGCTCAGCACCTGGTCTGATAGGTCATTTAACAAACGTGTAAGCACTTTGCACATATTCGCCAAGGCAGCCTCACCATGGGAATTCCTGCTGCTATCCCCACCTGACAAACGAGGAAACAGCTCCACCCGTGTGGCTCAAGGGTTGAGCATGGATCCTGCACCAAGAGGTTGCGGGTTCCATTCCCAGTCGGGGCACATGCCCAGGTTGTGGGCCGATTCCCAGCAGGTGGCATCAGGAGGCTGCCAGTCGATGTTCTTTCATCGATGTTTCTGTCTCTCTCTCCCTCTCACTTCCTGTATAAATTTTAAAAAACAAACAAAAACAAATGAGAAAACAGGCACAGAGAAGCTAAGCAATCTGACCGAGGCTGCAGAGCTGGTAAGTAGCCAGCATTCGGATCCGGACATTTTGGTTCTAGTGTTTATACTCTTTTTTTGTTTGTTTTTTATCCTCACCCGAGGACATTTTTGCATTTATTCTCAGAGCGGGAGGGAGAGAGAGAGAGAGAGAAACATCGATGTGATAGAGACACATCAACTGGCTGCCACCCACACGACCCCAACCAGGGCCAGGCACAAACTGCAACCAAGGTACGTGCCCTTAGCGGGAACCGAACCCAGGACTCTCCGGTCTGACGCTCTAACCACTGAGAAAAACCGGCCAGAGCTAGTGTTTATACTCTTGATCACTGCCGATTGCTGCCTCTCAGGTGGAAATAGCCATCGTATCTCCCAGTGTCCCCTTGCGGAGAGGTCCCTCGGGTTGGGGACGAGCGGGCAAGGACTGTGGTGAGACCTACTGGCCTCTGCTTTGCAGTTAAGCCGGAGATTGCCCAGGTTGGGGCCAGGTACCCGGAAGGTCAGGACCAGGGCCTCCTGGTGGTTCTTTTTGCCCTGGTGCGTGCCAACCCACCTGCCAATGTGACTTGGATCGACCAGGATGGGCCGGTGACTGTCAACACCTCAGACTTCCTGGTGCTGGACGCCCAGAATTACCCCTGGCTCACCAACCACACTGTCCAGCTGCGGCTTCGCAGCCTGGCACACAACCTGTCTGTGGTGGCCACCAACGACATAGGTGTCACCAGCGCCTCGCTCCCAGCCCCAGGTGAGCGTGGACTCGGCAGAAACGGGAGGACGTGTTACCCTTTGCATGAGGCTGAGATGAGCTGTCCCAGCCGCCTTGGGCGAGGAGGACGGAGTAGCACCTGTGGCATCTCAGAGTTGGGGGCCCTGCCCACTTGGAACCTAACCAAAGGACTCCTGCAGGACTCCTGGCCACTCAGGTGGAGGTGCCGCTGCTGGGCATCATTGTGGCAGGAGGACTATCCCTGGGCACCCTGGTGGCGTTCAGCACCTTAGTGGCCTGCCTGGTCTGCAGGAAAGAGAAGACCAAAGGTAGGGCCACGGTGGGGGTGGGGCGGAGGGCAGAGGGTGGCTGAGGGGTGGAAATGAGGTCATGGTGAGCAGCAGGGCAGAACCTAGGGCTGTGCGGAGCAAGTCACTTCTGACAGGTGGAGGCAGGTGTCTCCGGCTGTGGCCTGGGTAATCCCTGCATCCCAGGGGGCAGGCAGAGCGAGGCCAGGGCATTGGAGAGAGCCCTTGCCTGCCTGGGGGTCCTGGGTCTGAAGGGGCAGGGGCCAGGGCCGGTGGGCACACTGAGAACTGGTGGTTTCCTCCTCAGGCCCCTCCCGGCGCCCGTCTCTGCTCTCTAGGTAACCCCCTGGGCTGGCTGGGCGGGCGGGCGGGCGGAACGGCGGTGCAGCATGGGGACGGGTTCTACAGCTGGTTCCGAACCGGCCCCAAAGCAGGAGCCTGCCTGCCTGCCTGCCTGCCGGGCCAGGGCGCATCCTAGGCTCTGTGTGTGCATGTGTGCGTGTGTGTGTGTATGTGTGTGTGTGTCCCGCAGTGACTCCAACAACCTGAAGCTCAACAACGTGCGCCTGCCACGGGAGAACATGTCCCTCCCGTCCAACCTGCAGCTCAACGACCTCACTCCAGATTCCAGAGGTACGTCCAGGACCCTCTACTCCCCCCTGTTCTGTCTTCAGAGGTGCTTCTGAGAAAAAGAGAGCCCTGGCCAGTTTGGCTCAGCGGTTAGAGCGTCCGCCTGCGGTGCGGAGAGACCCGGGTTCGGTTCCCGCTAAGGGCATGTACCTCGGTTGCAGTTTGTCCCCGGCCCTGGTTGGTCGTGCGGGTGGCAGCCACTCGATGTGTCCCTTCACGTCGATGTTTCTCTCTCTCTCTCCTTTCCTCTCTCTCCCTCCCACTCTATCTGTACAAAAAATGGAAAAAATGTCCTCGGGTGAGGATTAAAAAACAAAAAAAGAAAAAGAGAGACCTTGGCACTTGGAAGGGCGAGGCCCACCTGGCCCACTCCCAGCCCTGGCACCACCTCTCTGTCACCAGCAGGGAAACCAGCGGACCGGCAGCTGGCTGGGACCAACAGCCATCCGGAACTTCTGGGTGCAGAGCCCGGGGGCCTCCTCACCAGCCGAGGTACCCTCCTCCTCCACTGCCCCGCCCTGTGCTGATGCCTCGGAGTCCCCAGGGGTCGGGGTCTGCTGACCTCCAAGGACGAGGGTCACGAGCTTCCTGGGCATCTCTGCCCGGCAGGGTTCATCCGCCTCCCCATGCTGAGCTACATCTACCGGGTGTCCAGCGTGAGCAGCGATGAGATCTGGCTCTGAGCGCAGGGCGAGCGGAGGGTGCCGCGGCCTCCGGGAACCCCCGCTCCTCCGAGGTGCCCTCTGCCCGGCCACCAGTGAGAAGATGCCACTTCCTCTTTTGCTGGCATCCCGGCCAGGGTGCCCTCTCTGTCATCCACACGGTGGTTTCACTGGGATCTGACCCTGAGGGGCACAGGCATCCTTGGCAAAGCTGCCAGCTGGACCCAGGCCCGTGTTCTGACTCGGGGTAGGGCCTGCACGGGTGCCCGTGCCCGGGCGGGTGGCGCTCTGCCCGTGTTCCGATGCCGTCCGGCGCCTGTGAGTGGCGTGGCCCTGCTGACAGCCTGCCCTGCCCTCACGCGGGTGCCCCTCAGCACCCCGGGCACAGCAAGCACGGGGCTGCCGGTGTGGGACGGGAAGGCCCTGCCCGTCTGG